TGGCTGGAGTCAGTGTACTTCGCCCACTTGCTCGGGTCCCAGTTAAGAGGGTTGCAAGAACCTACGCAACCTCGATACCATCAAAGGCCCACCATCGTGTAGTTATTGTTGGCGGAGGTACAGCTGGAGTTACTGTTGCTGCCCAGTTGCAGCGTAGCACGGATTTTGAGAATAAGGATATCGCCATCTTAGACCCTGCACAGACCCACCACTACCAAGTAAGAAGTCTTCATTCCTATTCCTATTATATCTGGAGTTACTAACATCGAAACAGCCAGGATGGACACTTGTTGGTTCCGGGTTGAGGACCCTTGCAGATATGCATCGGCCTATGTCCGAAGTGATTCCACAAGGCGTGAAACACTATCCTCTGAGAGTGTCCACGTTTGATCCAGCAAACAACGCAATCAAAACATCTGAAGGAGTTGATGTATCATATGACTACCTAGTAGTTGCCCCAGGCCTAGAGACAAACTTTGCTGGTGTCTCGGGTCTTGAGCAAGCTCTACAAGACCCCGCTAGCCAGGTATCATCTATCTACTCAGAGAAGACGGTGGAGCAGGTATGGAAGAATATGCAAGCTTTCAAGAAAGGGCCAGCTATCTTCACTCAGCCTGCTGGTGTTATTAAATGCGCTGGCGCTCCTCAGAAGATTATGTGGATGGCCCATTCGCAGTGGAAACGGGATGGCGTGCGAGACAATATCAACATTACCTTCGCAACTGGTGCTCCAGGTAAGACGACCAACGTATCCCGTCAATCGACTCATATATGTTAATAATATTTAGTCATGTTTGCCGTCCCGAAGTACTCACAGCCGCTTGAAGATCTGCGCAAACAGCGCAATGTCGAAGGCCTTTTCCAACATAACCTAGTTAAAGTAGACCCAAAGAACAAGGTGGCAACATTTAAGAACTTGGCGGACGGTGCTAATAGTGCACTTGTTGAAAGAGAGTTCGGATTTCTACGTAAGCTTTCTTCAATCCCCTTGGTCCCCTGCCCCTTTTTTCGCATTAAATATTTCTGCACATTTCCGAGCTTTAAAGTTGTGTAAGTTAGAATAATAATTGCTAACTCATATGTTGATAGATGTGGTACCTCCTCAAAAGCCGTGGGACTGGGTTGCTAAATCTCAACTAGGTAAGTATCCTGTAAGAAACTCTCATTATGATGAGTGTTATGTCAAAGATGACTAATTATGTTTCTCCTCATAGCGGATGCCGCGGGTTGGGTTGATGTGGATAAGTCCACTACGCAACATACCAAGTACAAGAACGTTTTCTCTCTTGGCGATGCATCGAGTCTCCCAAACAGCAAAACCGCGGCTGCTATCACATCGCAAACGCCAGTTCTAATAGACAACCTTTTGGCGGTCATGAAAGGCAAGGAGCTCAAGGCGTCGTATGACGGCTATGCAAGTTGCCCCTTATTGACCGGTCACAATGAGCTTATGCTCTGCGAGTTCAAGTACGGCGGTGTGCCCAAGGAGACCTTTGCAAATATACTTGGTGGCCAGGAGAAGCCTAGTCGGTTATTCTACCATTTAAAAAAGGATTTCTTCGTAAGTCGCCCAAGGGTCACCAACTCAGGAGTACTCTCACTAACCAGCTCGTAGCCATATGCCTACTGGAACTACTATGTAAAAGGTACCTGGTTTGGCCCAAGCGGATTTTTCCGCCCTAATACTACAGCAAGTTAAATTCAGATCCGACTATTCAGGTATGTAGTAGGTAATAGGTGCGTTAACAGACAAATCTATAATGATTCTTAGAGTACTTCTTTCGCTTTGACCTGGCTTAGACGTTCTGCGCTTGTGTAAAGTATTAGGAGGTGTATGATAAACGCAACTAAACATCTCTACAGTGATTGGCCTCTTAAGTACGCGCATACTTTTTATCTCCTAATTTTGATTACATTACCAAGAGTTTTAGTGCTACTTGGATATGACGTAAATATTGTAAAAGATTCGCGAAACGGCTGCCCTACAGCATGCGATGGTACCCAGGATCAGCGCGATAAAAGGAGTCAGGGGGCCATTTTCGCCGGGCGAGAACCTTACGGATACCTTAGTTATAGCTAACTAGGTTACATAAGATATCTCACTACTCTTAACTATGGACTGACCCAAACTATACGTCGCATCTACTACAATATCCGGGTCTTCCGACTAATCCCTAGACACCTCAACACTATCAAATTCCCTGCCCTATGTGCTGATGTTTCGGGGGGGAGAGTTGTCGGCCGAGTTGCTGTGCAGTACAATAGTTGTCAATCTTTGCCAATAGGGGTAGCAGACATCGAGCCACTAGTCAACTTATTGGCACATGGCCTTTGACAGCTTTGAGTGCAGGTTGCATAATTCACTCAATAGTGTAGTTTTTAAGTAGTTATATAAATTGGCCGATGGATTCTAGCTAGCCATTTTGAGATTATACCCCCGAAGCATTCTTACAGATGCCTACCTATCTATCACCGCGACGTTGGTCTGCTATAGCATAAACCTCGAAATGAACAGCATGTAACTAGACAAGCTTGGCATAACCCCTCCGTAGAGCCCATATTAGTTTAACGTAAGCTGCCGGTATTACTGTATTTGTCACAGTAGTGGCGACTCGTGATGTTGCTACTGTCCGAATGGTAAGAAATTACTTCTTCTCGAGATAATCCACTTTAATATAAACGTAAGCAAAAGGCATTAGCTCTGACCAAACACCTATCGGGCCGCCCCCGAGGAGACTGTCCCCGGAAGCTATTGAACTTGACGCTAAATGGTGGTGTGTTGGTTGTTAATCTATTGTTTGTAACCTACCTAACTACCCGATATCTCTGTAAAGGTTCCAGCATCCACTCCAGCAGCTCGAGCCCGAATGCGATAAATGGTCGGCCCGTGAGCAGACCGGGGAATAAATGTTTCGGATGGTCTCGGAACCAAGCCGCACACCCGATTCTCTCACCTGGAAAAACATTACGTAGCGGAGCGGTGAGTAACGACATCCTGGTAGCTCACATGCATGTCAGATATTTGCGACGTCTTGGATAGGTCCGTAGGAGATTTTCGTCGCGGCGAGAACATACGTATCGTCCCAACGAAAGGGTAGCGAGTCGCTAACCCAGGCGGGAAGGAGGAAACCAAGGTGCGCGCTAATCGCGAATCGCTGCTGTTCGCAGGTGTGAATACCTGAGATACCTAGGTCAGTATACCCCTACTCCATATCACTTGACATCTCAATGTGATGCTGCAACGTGAAATAACCTAACGGGAAGATAGTTTGCCTAACACGATGCATTGCAGGGGAGCCAAGTATGGTCCATTAGCCAGCTTCAACGGGCCGGCCTGCAAGTCGGATGGAAATGCTACGTACCATGTTCGTGGTCCCTACCCCTTTCAGCTAGTCGGGGTATCACAATGAAACCCTGGGGATGAATAGGGTTAGCTGTGTACAGAGCATCGAGTTTAGACGATCTCTAACCGCATACACGTCTTACGAAAGTCTAGCATAAAACAATAGACTAAGTTGAACTAAGTTAGACATATGCAATAAGTCCTCGGCAGGATCTTGTAATTTCCCAAGGCCTTGTTTTCAATTTGCATGAAATCTTTCTTACATCAGCCTAGGTTACGTACTAACCTTTCTTCCCTTTTCGTTCTGCCCGCGGGGTATTCGGAGGATCCTGTACGTCCCGGGATATTCTTCACGTGGATGGGATATGCATTGCGTGCCCAGCATGTGATGGATATGTTCCCATTAGCCATTAATTCCGACGTCGTTAATAATTCCAGCTCGATACGATCCCGACGACCCTTGGCTGATGTTCGATTCTTAACCCTTGAGCTGATAAAAATTGGACCCAAATTCAGTCTTGAAACTTACAAAGCCAACCCCTATTTTGACAGCCTGGACCAACAACAGGTCCAGCCGCTAGGTAGAAGCATTCCCGAAGCGTTACCAAGAGATCGATAGGGGCCTAGGTACGAGAGGGGGCTGATAATGAGGATAACGAGCTAGGACCAGATATCTAAGTTGGATGGTCCTATATGTGGATCTGGGTATGCTCAAAAATAACCAGTATCCACTCAGGTTACGAAAACAAACGGGGTTGGACTGGTAAACTAGTCCGAATTCTTCTTCTCGGTTGGCTCACACTCATGAAGCCCTGTCGGTACGTAGAATCGTAACTCGGATTGGCAAGTCCAGGTTGGCGTAACCAACTGAATTCCTACCAGATTCAACGACATGAATCGTCTACATAGTAGACAGATTATAAGAAGCTAGGATGTCTCTCCATCCTCCATGCAAGGCTGCCAAGACGGGAGTCAAGCCACGTGCTCCCCACAGATTGATTGCCTACCTATGTAAGCCATGTGGCGCCGGGGAGTAGGGCACGGTGTTATACTACCTACGAGGAGCGTATTGGCCGGGAACCCTTGTTACCCGGTTGGGCATCTGCTTCGCGTTCATTGTTGACATCGTACATGCATAAGCTATGGCTACCTAGCTACGGGGGAGCTTCAGCAAAGTGCGGAGATGGCTTGAAGGAAAACGCGTTGAGACATCAAGAGGTTGAACTTGACAGCTTGATAACAGTTCAATGAGACAAACTATAAGCCACTAACCTAGGTTAAGAACTTTCGAAAAACTCCAAACTCCACGACGGAGAAATCTTTTACCGAGAGTCGAGAACCCCACGGTAGCAATACATAGTGTAGACAAGTTTAGTAAGAGGCTGGCTCATACGATCCTCAACTTGGGGGCCTCAAGAGGTACTCATTCATGTCAAAGCGGAGATCGACAATCTGCGAATAACCCTCTGCGGCAATGTCGACACCGCATATAAACCAGGTTGCTAACTCTGCCAGGGAGTAGAAACGTGGCTGTGGAGACGTCTGTGGGACCCTGCCGGCGTGACAACGTTCGGTATCTGCTAGACATTGCCAAGTATAGGCGAACCCGATGGGGATCGGTCGGCTATAGGATATAGCTTGTTGTGTCGCATTCCGTATCACATTGGTAGTGTCATTATTGGAAAGATTCGGGAAAAGGCTACTGTGATGAAATCAACCCAGCAGCAGGCATGGCAATAATAGCTATGCTATCATAGCAAACAGCGATCTATCTGTGGTACACCCCTCAATTTGAGCCGATGGCTGCTTAATACGGCATACGCTCCAATGGAAAATGGTCCGGACACTCTTATTCAGCCGGTTTCTAAGATCTGTTGGTGCAGTTGGTTCGAATGAACCTTGCGCTTACATAGTTGCCCAAGCTTCGTAAGCGGCACCACCCCCAAAGACCTGGTAGCTAGAATCGTAGGACGCGACTAAAAAGATATTCGTTGGTTTACCTATCGCTTTGCGCGGGTCTCCCTAGTCGATGTCTTCAGGGGGTATAGCTTTTCTTTCTATAGGCGTGCTAGGGCCATAAGCAATACCTCAAGGGGCAGATTTACGGATGCCTATATCGGAACCATCTACGTGTATATATATCTCTACATCCACCCTCGCCTTACATAGCTCTCTCACTCTTTCCATCTTCATTATAACATCGGAATCACTTTGAACACTATATACCCTAGCAGCAATTAACTAAACCCTCACACTATAACCAGCTGACTTTATCACACATCCAACATGGCCGGGCAAGATTTTACAGGAAACGCTTTCGTTACTGGCGGAGGTAATAACCATCCCTTCGGGAGACCTTCCTTCATGAGTCCTTCATGAGTCTAACTTCAGACAGGTAGCGGAATATCAAAGGCGATCTGCGTGGCATTTGCAAGACGCGGGGTACGCGGACTAGTAGTAGCGGATATCAACCTCGAACTCGCGATCAAGACCGCCGCAGAGAGCAAAGCGGTCGCCATAAATCCCGAGTTCCGAGTAGAAGCATACCAGCTCGACGTGGCGCATCCAGAATCGGTCCAAAACGCCATTGACCGTACGGCAGACACATTCGGGCGCCTTGACTACGTCATAAATGGAGCTGCTGTACGTTTCTACATACGACTTGATGCTACTACTTGCGATTCTCGATACTAATAGTGATTTCTTATGCTTAGGTTCTTGGAGAGTACAACGAGGTATCAGAGACCGGCCTTGACACGCTGCGGAGAACCTTCGAAGTCAACGTACAAGGATCATTCCTAGTATTAAAAGCCGCCACGAAAGTCATGGCGTCCCAAAAACCTGTCATGATCGACGAATCGCTCCCAGCGCGGGGTGTCTCCCGTGGGGTTATTGTCAACATTAGCTCAGTAGTTGGCCACATCGGTCTACCGAAAATAGTGCAATGCGTTGCCTCGAAGCACGCGGTAATCGGTTTAACCAAGACTGCGGGTAAGTGACCGCCATTGCATTTTCCAGTCCCCATATCGAGAAAACCTGTTTTGCTGACTTTCTTCGCAGCTCTCGACAACATCAAACACAACATTCGCGTCAACTGCGTCTCACCGTCATGGGTGGATACTCCTGTGGTGCAAAATGCCGTCAAGAGTCTTCCGGCGTTAGAAAAGACCATCGCGTCCCACTTACCAATGGGGCGGATGGGACTCCCGGAGGAGATTGCAGACGTGGTCCTCTTCCTATGCAGCCCGGGTGCGAGTTGGGTCAATGGTACCAACTTCATCGTTGATGGGGCCATGACAGTTGGTCCCTGCAGTCCGGACATGTGATCATCATACTACTATTAGTGGGCACAGAAGCCAGCCTTAAGGAAAGCCTCACGGAGTTTAGAGATTTGGTTTATGCGAAGAGAACTTCACCCCTGAATTCTGGTCTTGGTTTGGGGAATCAGGGGGAATGTTGGGCACCTAACATGCGGTCAGCCCCTCATATATCAGGCATTCCTTTTAGGTAGCTTCTTGAATGAAAACAAGAAAAAATAACAGTTCACAAACATGGTTCCGGGTCTGAATAGTGCAAGGTCCGTGCTTGTAAGGCGCTATTATTAACTAGCGAGATTATCATTTTTAGTCTCGTTCCATTTTGATTCTATCGAACATTCGGATAAGATATCCGGCTCGTTGGTTATGGATCGTCAGTCTATCCTCTGCTCCCAAGTTTCTACCTCTCACGACCATACTTCGAGGGCTGAGCAGGTGCGTTGTCAAGAATCTTCTCGATCTCCTCCAATACATCCGGTGTTAGCTTATCCACCAACTTGAGAGCTTTGACATTGTCTTCGATTTGCTCGACTTTTGTGGCGCCGAGGATTACGGTGCTGACATTCGGGTTCTTGAGAGTCCAGGCCAAAGCTAACGACGCAGTAGTTCCGCCAAGACGTTCCGCAATTGCGGTCAGCTTCTTAACCTTCTCAAGCTTCGCCTTACCCTCCTCCGTCTGTAATGACTTGATAGTATCGTTAAAGAAGTCTCCGTGTTTGGCGAAACGCGATCCTTCGGGGATACCGTTGTTGTATTTCCCTGTTAATAGGCCAGAGGCGAGCGGAGACCAAATTGTGGTGCCGTACTTGAATTGCTCAAAGAGCGGTGCGTATTCGACCTCGAATCGCTGGCGGTGAAATGCGTTGTATTGGGGCTGCTCGACCACTGGCGCGATGAGATTATATCGCTCTGCGATCTGGGTGGCTTCCATGATCTGGATAGCACTCCACTCTGACGTACCCCAGTAATAAGCTAGGTTGAGGTTTCGGATGACTTGAGTGAAGCCCTCCACGATTTCCTTCATGGGCGTAGCATAATCGGGGCGGTGAGCGAAAACAACGTCAACATATGGTTGTTGCAGACGTTCGAGGGAAGACTTAAGACCCTCAACAATATGTTTTCGGCTAAGTCCGCGAGTGTTGGGTTCCTTGCGACCGGTACCGAAGAAGATCTTGGTGGTAAGGACATACTCGTCGCGAGGCCAGTCAAGTTCTTTCAAGGCGTTACCCATCTCCAGCTCAGACTCTCCCGAAGCATAAGTCTCTGCTGTGTCAAAGGTGTTGATACCGTGGTCCCAGGCGGTCTGAAGGCATTTTTTGACAATCTCGCCCTTCTCGGTACCTCCATAGGTTAGCCATCCACCCAAAGACAGCACGCTCACCTTCAGACCCGTTGGGCCGAGATGGCGGAACTGCATGTCCTTGGGATCATATGCGGATCTTACTACTGGCATTGTGGCTATTCTTCTTGAGTGCTGTAGCTGGTTTCTGGGGATGATGGCTGAGAACCTGTGAAATACGCGAGACATGAGGGGAAGTGGAAATTTATTTGTAGGCAGCTTTTTTTATTGGATTATGCAATGGCGAGAACGACTGAATGGGTTAAGATAGCAGTATAATACATACCTGTTATTCGGTATAGCGTCAGCAAGATACCTAACCCCATTAAACTTCCCGGGGTATCTAACCATAGCTTTTTTCATGCGAGTGTACATTTGCTTAACAATCCATTTCGCTTTTCATAACTCCGATACTTGTATCTCGTTATCTAATTACCGTACTTGACTTCTTTCAGTTTATTAAGAACCTTGAACGCCATGACGCAATTGAGTCTCCACTAAGACTAGCATAAAAGTTATCGTCCATACAGGCAAAGCCGGTAGCGTCATCACTAGTAAGCTATCAGTCAGTCGTGCTGGCTAAGTCTGCCCAGGCCCCAGGGCATTTATGGTTACACAAACGCGGGAGCTGTGGGTTCGAGGCCCAGTCTTTTCACTTTTTCAATTTTTTAATATTCCGCCCCACATATCTCAAAATTGGACCAATTAAAGGCCTCGAAGCAAAACCGTTATATTTTACGAAACTATTTTATAGAATGTACCAACCTGATTACAATGATGTCCGTATATAAAATAATTATCAAAAATTGGAATAGTTGTATATACCCACCAAGCTCCGCTATGGTAAGTACCTCTTAAGAAACACTATGTAAAGATCCGCTAGTTAACGATCCCCCTTAAAGTGAAATAAACCAATAAAGTGCATGGAATATACACAATATGTCTAATTACTCCCCCCCTCACGCAAGATCATGGCCGTTACCACACAGTCCGACTTCTGCTAGGCATTTGGATCGTTATAGTATCGTACCGTTCCCTAGTCTGTTCGGCCCGCTCCATACGGCCGGAAACCGTTCGAAGGTGAGCACTAGGTTGTTGGAGTAAATCTAAGATGTTATCGTTCAGTTGCGCTTCAGCGATGAGAAGTTCAGTGTCTGTCCGCCTATGCTGTTGAGGTACTCCATTCGTGCAGTAATCTTCATTTCTCGTACACTTCACATACAATTCATTTAGTTTCTCAAGTAACCCGTTGGTTTTCATCCTTTTTTTCGACTCAGTCCCAACTATTAGCATCTCCTGTTCGATGAGATCTAGGAAATCATGCAGGAACTGGGTGCAGCGGGGATGGGAATGCATTGTCGCAAACCACTTTTGCAGGTTAGCTCGCTAACATAAGATAGTCATTGAGGACATCTTACCTCAGTTACCACTGGCTTCACAATGAATCCAATCTTTCCGGTTTCTGAATGCTTCACAATTTCAAAGTAGATAGACGTAGTATACCCACCAAACCAACGCGTTTTTCGTTTTCCTTTGAACTGTTCCCTTGAATTTTCCCCCATAAGAAGCCAACTGAGTAGATCGAGAAAGAGACATCCAAGCGTCCAGATATCAAAAGCCCTAGTTATTGTGCCACCCCTCATATCGCACTCGGGTGGTCTGACATCTGGATTTACCGGGAGATCCTGGTTTGGGACGTTGGACTTACTCCAGTCGTGGTGTACGGAGGCGAGTCCAAAATCCGAAAGAACTAGCATAGGACGCTGGCCCTCAGATCCAAAAGCCAATATGTTTTCAGCCTTTATGTCACCATGGCGGCCAAACAGCTGCTCTTCCTGCTGCTCATTGTTCTGCCTTGGAATATGTATCGAGTGGACAGCATCCGTGATTTTGAGACACTGTTCAGCAACCCAGCGGACTTTCTCGAGTTTTTCAGCCAGGTCTTTGCTTCGGTTATTGTTCTCTTTGAGGTACTTATCGAGATCGCATTTTGCCCATGGAAATATGATATAGTGACTATCTCCATGTTCGTAAGTCGCCAGGACAGTTAAAATATGAGCATGTACATCGGGAGAAAATCTCTCGAGCATATTCGCCTCTCTATTACGCCTACCCTCAGTAGTACCGTAGCCCCCTCGCGAGATTCTCTTCAGTGCAAACGGACCCTCTGGGCTCGTTACCTAAATGTACGCACTATGTGTAAGCTAGGGAACCACCAGTCAATCATAGCATGAGTCCTCACCTGTGGAATCTCAGGAAAGTCATGACCATGCTTGTGTATCTTCAAATAGGAGACTTCGCCATGACCTCCCACATCTTTGGTGTGAGTTTGGGTTCTTGGGTCCGATCTGGTGCGTTCAATGAAGGGTAATATGACGCTCTGATCGAACACCATATGCCGACGCCAGGTCAAAATTGGAACGTTCATTTTCCATTTCCAAATCCTGAAGCTATCCATATTCATCCGTCTTATATTTTGAGGAAAGGCATTGTCCAGTCGCGTTGATGAACTATCTTTGGGGGGAGCCATTGGCAAGTCCTGGTCAGAGATTCCATTATCCATAAACTGGAATATGAGCCACCCTATTTCAGCAGTAGCGAGTGCAGCAAATAGTCGGATATAGGTCTTGTCCTCGGCCGCTTGCGAATTTGGGCAGATGAGTTGAACGTAGTGACCATTCGGATTGTTTGGCGTGTAGTTCCTCCTAGACGATTGTTCACGATACTTGTCAAGGTTTTCCTCCACCTTGGGTTTCGTAAGTAGATGCCTAAGGCACTGCAAGGTCAAATAATTATCTCCGTTATGCGGATGATCGATCGTTTTTTCGGAAAGGAAGTCACCAAGGGTTTTTTCCGACGGCATCGTCTTGAATATGAATGCTTTTACGCTGTAGAATATAAGCCACGGTTCAAAAGTATGCAATTAAGGGCTCGGGGGATAGGGTGAAACTATTCCACGATAAGATATTTAAGACTTATAGTTAACTTACCTTGCGAAAGATCGGTTAGGTAAGTACCTAAGTTTACGTGCTTTGATATACACGTATGCTAGAAGCCTCGTTGTTGGTGGAATTAACAATAGGTATAGGCAGTGATAGTAGCTTGGTGGACTAACCGAACGTTTCATGAGTTCAGTCCAAGGCCTAACTTATATACACGTCTTCACCAAGATCTCTAGTACTGTTCCAAACAGTAGCCCTTTGACCACGCGTTTAGGTAATCATTAACACCCCCAAGCATAACTTTGAGCCGCATCTTCGATAAGCAAGACATGAAATCAGGAAATTAGTTGCTATCGCCGTATTACTTGCAGCTTAGATACAATTGAATTCATTACGTTATCTCTACTGTTAACAGCCGACAGGGCTTTTATTCAATCTACATTCATGTACGTAACCCAAAACATCATCGATATGATACAATAGCTTTGGATCGGCGTAATATGTCGCCAATTAAAAATTCCTAAGAGAAGTCACATTGCCATTTCACTAGCATATGCAAGCGACTTAGGTATGCATGGAGAATACGTTTATGTACACAGGTCTCCTGAGCATTAAGGTGGTTAACGTAGGTATTGCCTCTTATCAACAACCATAATTGGTCGTGGGTGTCTCCGAAGATCCTTGTAGAACTCTCCAATATAGCCTCCTAGTCCGATGAGGCTCTGGGTGTCCTGCGTTAGATAATGCAGGGTGGTCGTGCTTATGGGGGGCGGTGCGTTAGGCAATCTGCCAAATTTCAGAAAGCTCGGATTTCATTGGTAGCCTCTTCATTTCCTATGCCACCCCCGTACTACCTCCGGATTTTGTGGCGATATTTTCCGGTGAATGCCGCTCTCCTGGAGTTGGAGCATTGTTCTTGGCTTTGCTTGAGCCTCATAATTATGGTCAGAAGCCTGGTCATGCAATGCACTGCGTTCGTTCGGACCGATTACTATTGTATTACTAGAATTGCCGGTAAGAACGGACGCGCCAGCGGACGATTGTGTTGGATTTCCTTCGGAATCGTGCCCTATATGTCCCTCTAAGTACTGAGACCCTGGCAGTGCAGTTAATGGCTGAGTAGAAGGCAGAGCAGGATGTTGCAGCGGCCGATTCTTATCTATTTGCAAGAATGATGTACCCGATACTGAATTGGAATATTCTCTTCGGGCACATTGTCGTGAGTCTTCGTCCTTAGAACTAGAATCTTGGCATTTATCTGCTCCTCGTAGGCTACCGTACACCGGATAGTGATTTTTATCTGTATACATCTCTTTCTTATGCTGTATGCTTTCCTTGGGTTCCCTCTGCATGGAAGCTAGGGCGGAAATGCTGGAAATACCCTTGGAGGATTTGATAGGAATACCGTGACGACCGGATTTATCAGTCGTTTTTTCCTCAGATTGATTGTGGGCGCTCCTAACTTCTATTACTTTATAACATCTACTTCAAGTGCATAGGAAATAGATATATACAGATTAGAGTAGTACTTTTACTCTACCAGTATCATTACATCTATAAGCATAATTCTAAACATACTACGATTATCAATTTGATATGAAGTTAATAATAGACCGATAAGTTAAAGTCAGGTAGGTACCTAACATATGGAGGCATCTATCTAGGTACCTAAGGTATACCTCAGTCTACTTCCCATACATACACAGACATACATACGAACCATCGGCCAAACTAACAATATCAACCCCGAAGTGGCGTTAATTAGGATAGTTGGACTTTCAATATTCGGAGACAAGGTCAACCCTCCCTGATAAGTCGGCATGGTAATTGGCCGTGGTACGTCTATTAACTCCTATTTCGGATTTCAGCTCGCTGATAACAGCCAAGGCTATACCTATGTTCATGCAAGCCACGGAACAATATCACATTGTACGAAGCGTGGTGGCTATGGCTATAGGAGCCGAAACCATGACCCGTAGGTCCGAGAGTGCAACCGATTTCGGCGTTCAAACCCCAATCCATTCGAAGTATATTCCAGACCCAGAAGAACTTAGGGCAATATTAAGAGACCAGTTTGGAACGGGCAAGTTTGAAGTTGAAGTGGGTTTCCTTCTAAGTGTTCTACTCACTAGTATCACATACATCTAACGCGGCAATAGATGCGCCATGATACATATACTAATTCAAATCAGAAGCAGAGCTAAACAACGTGCGTATCTCAAAACTTTAGAATAGAATCTCTAAATTCGACAAGTTGACAGGTTATAATGTTAGGCTACAATTGAGAAGATCCGTAAATTATCCAATATAACGAAATAGCTGACAATCGAGTTCCCACTTGCCGTATGATTTAACTACCTCGCACTTTTTCGCTTCATTGTTGGTACATAGGTACCGCAAGACTTTCCTGAAATAACTTCAAGATGTGAATATTGCCGGGGCATATAGGAACTCTAATTGTTAGAATAGAGAATTTTTCTATAATTTTCATTTGCTGTATTACCACGCATGGACGAGTAGGTGTACGGCAAGCATTAGGTACCTGTGTACTCGATTACTTATATTCCTTCCAGTTAATTCATAATGCATTCCCAATGCTTAATTCGTTAGAGACTTGCAGCCCATACACTGCTTTTTCGATTGATCGACGTTATGAATGCTTGTGAGCAGTGTCTATGAGCCCCGCAACCCCTATCATTGGGTTGCATAGGTACAGTAAGTAGAGCCTTATTCAATACGTACACTTGTTTAGGTAGTTCAACAGTTTCAACGTTCCTCCCTTATAAATACCTATAGCTTGAAAGAAATCATAGATTATTGTAGTATTATCATATAGTTACACCCACTTAAGAGAACATAATTGTCAGGGTATAAGTGGGGCAGGGGTAGATTCAGGGGTAAATTCAGGGGTAGATCTAATAAGATGCGCACAGCACCGTCGAAAGAGGATAGAAGGGCAGGCGTTAATAGCTCAATTCAACTATCCCAACATTTATCACGGGTATTAATCTAACAATATTGCCAGACACGAGAAGAATTGAAGATCTTATAATGCCTGCCTCTACAATCACTATGCTTTGCACAACGAGCTTTGAAAAGAGCGCTGTCCGGTATATGCTTGACCAAGAGCACTTACGCCTGGAGAACTAACCGGGAGATTTAAACATATATGCCTTCGGTACTCTTAACGGGCATAACGTCGTGCTTGCTTGCCTTCCTGAAACCCAAGGGAAAAGTGCCACCGCTGTCATGGCGGCGAATTTAGCGCGGACTTTTCCTTCTATTGAGTGGCGGCTTCTTGTGGGCACTAGTGGGAGAGTATGATCCACGACACGCGACATCCTCTTAGGCGACGTGGTTATAAGTACGCCCGACGGGAAACACAGCGGCGTGATCCAATATGACCTAGGTAACTATACCACAGACGGCTTCGTCCTTAAAAGCTTCTTGTCGCCGTTACCGTCTCGGCTAAGAGGCGCCGCCGAGATGATGCGGTTAGACCATTTAATCCGTGAGGATAACCTTCATTTATTTATTTATACAATGCTGCAGAAGGGAGATCAATTCAGTGGCATTCTCTTCTAACGGTCAGCGAGCATCAGGCTCAAGCGATAGAACAATCAAAATATGGGACATAACAATAAGCGCAGACTCAACCTTCTTAAGAAAACATGACGGTCCTATTGTAAGCGTGGCTATTTCGGACGACAACGCCTATATAGCATCGGCTTGTCAGCATATGGCGAAAGTATAGGATACAACAACAGGCACATGTCTAGCAAGCTTTAAAGATAATTAAACACAAGTCTATTTGGGGCGTAGACTTCACGCCTTTGGGGACCGCCTTGATATATTTATGTTCGAATCAAGTCGCGCGACACTACACTTTCCCAAGGTAGGTAGTTATAACCGTCCTTTCTCTCCCCAGAATCTATCCCCCCACCCCAGCCTCCCAACGATTTTAGGCGTCTACGAGACCTAAGGATACACGTAGAATGGATTAACTGCAATGGCAATAATGCTATTTGGCTGCCTCCCGAGTATCGCCCTACTTGTTCAACCATCAGGGCACAAACAGTTGCAGTCGGTTGCAAATCCGGTCAGTTTTGGATGTTAAACTTTTCTTTCGCATAACGCCACAACGCGGTACTATACCCCTTACCAACTACTCCACAGGCGTAAGAGGGAAGACTTTATGCCAGAAATGCCACAAAAGACTGGTAGCAATGGTAATCGGAATTGCAAACGCCCAATAAATCCAGAACTTGCTCGATACGTTCCAAGAGCCGGAGTCGGCTTGGAAGTCGAAGAACGACATGCTAAAAACAGCGGAGAGGAAAGTAGCTGGCAAAAACATCATAGTGACGAAAGCAACCTTCCTCATTGATGCGCCATCTAACTGGGCGGCACGTCCTATCTGGACGGAAATCCCCGCATCGTACTGGGCGACAGTATTAAATGCAAGTTGAATCTCGTTCTGTAACCTTTCGCGATTAGAGATGGACCGGTGGCGGAGGTTGTTAAGCATATGTCTGCAGAAAAGCAGCTGGCGGTGGACAGCCTCCGAGGCGTCAGTCTGTATCATCTGGGCTGGGAAGTTCTGGCTTAAAAATTCATCGTGCTGTTTCAGAATACCTCCCATGCTTTCTGCAGCAACATTGAGAGACTCGGTTACGTGAATAGCGTGTCGAGCGACATCGTGAAGATGTCTGTAGTCCGGTTGCGGTTTGCCTTTCGGCTTCCTCTCCGTCTCTATTGCCCTCACCTGGTTACGAATAGCCCAGACGGCAGAGTCTTGGAGGTCTACCACGTCGCTGGCTAACCGGGCGTAAACCCAAAACGGATCTCCGAGACAGCTAGGGTCTGGATTCTGAAGCGAATCCGGTATGCGCTCTACTATAGGAGACCGCGTATCGAAAGCGAGGATGATTGTCTGCTTTGTAGGGGCTAGCCATCGTATAAATATGTTCATTTTGTGCCATTGATACTGCATCTTAGCATCCAAATGCTTGACCTCAAAATAAGCCCACGTACCTACGACAGATTAGCATCGAGTAAAATTAAGTATGATGAAGTTATAAACACACTGAACCCCGTGACAACTCCATTATGTCTGCTTATATCACTTCCAAGGTATCCATTCGAATTTCGGCAGTAATCCGACCACCATATCTGAGGAATAGAGAATGTCTTGGTGAACGAATTTCGGCACGAGAGACATGCGCGAATCTCGTTGGCACTTGCAAGACTTAAAGCTTGTTAACTTTCTCGCTCGCCACTCGAAGATCATTTGCTGACATTATACATATCTGTGATTCTGCGTATATCGCCTGGCAACTGTCATTGCCATGAAATTCATCGCTATAGACCCGGCGCTGATGCCAATGGCTATTCGCTGCAAGGTATATAGGTAAGCGAGGCCTCATCTCTCAGACGTAATAGCGTACCTGGCTTCCACTGAAGTACGGAAATAGGAGGACATTTTTGACAGCTAACTTGAGACATTATAGCATTTCAACGCTAATAAAAGCAGTTAAGAATCTCAAGTCAACTTAAACGGTCTTCGTAAAGTTGATAAGATGTAAAGTAAATATAAAACGCGAAGCAAGGCTGGAACAAGAAAAACGAGGTGGGCTTTTTACATTTTACAGCTTCCGCCACGATGCTGCAGTGACAGGCCATATAAAAACGCCTTCGGTCCGGGTTGGCATAAAGATGCATGATAGGCGAACCACATATTCATCAAAACTCGCAGATAATGAGGTTACCAATCGAAAAGCTCACAGGAAGGATAACCGCAAGATAAACGATGCTTTGATATTTCACGAAAATGATTTGCTCAATCAATTTGAACCACAATGAAGTTATGGGCGCGCTTCATTATAAGGGTAAATCGACGTTGAATGTAAGTGGTACATTAGGTACAGCTGAATCTTATCAAGTTGTGCGAATATTACAGGTCATAAATGTTGCTGCAACAATTCCTTGTGGTTACAATGGCCATGTTATTCCCAGATATGCAGAGGTGGTATTGAATAAGTCAGATTACAGATTATGCATCTCTTACATAACCCCATACCGCCGCTTCGATCGATTCCCATCAGTTGATCTCTAGTTTCAGTCTTCGATAGTTACACCCTCTTTACTATGTAATAGTTTCAGAAGCCACGCATCGAACCAAGCTTTCTCGCTATTCGGTTTACACCAACGACTTACGGTAGCTTTGCGATCTTGTGTAAATCTGGCACGAGCTTCATGCTAGGGTGCCTTCTCCCCAATAACCCCTGATTCCAAAAACCTGGAGTTGATTCATGTTAAAAGGCTTAGCAACGTACATAACTTGGTTCACAAGGATTCGTATATTCTTCCCGAGGATTTATCTTCGTCTGATAGACTTACGAGACTATAGTGTCGGTTATGCGTCGATATTACCGAACTGCTGGCGTAATGTACATTACAATAACTACATCGATAGTAGATACTAAATCAATTCAATACAGCCCTAGCAAGACCTGGGGTCAACATATAGATATTATATCACCTATACGCTTGGTAAACCCGACCTTTCTTGAGGCATGTTTAAAAGAATTGGTATAATAGAAGACTATCCGGGTGCTCGTCTACTGAAATACAAAGCTATCAAAACTCTAGTAACTCCAGGCTGTTTCTAGTCTATCATTATCAATTCCAGCTAGTATATCATAATCATGGAAGAGAGAAACTATTTTCATCTTCGTAGCAGATGATAAAGATTTTCTTATATGATAAAAGACGCGAGATATGACATTTAGAACTAGGTTGCGCTCCTAGTATTACAGCATTATGTCATATTTATATGTGTTCCCTCAATACCATCACGATATTATGAAACTAAAGACATCCTCCAAGAAAAGATTATTTGAGCTGTTAGTGTATCCCTCGATGTCGTCTATGAGTGTTCAATGAACTATTGTTTTATCTACCTAGGCTTATTATTGGTTTTCCATGTTTAGGACGCCGTTAGAAGTGACAACAATCCAGTATCCGTCAAATTGAAGAGACGCATATCACAAGGTGTACTCAGAAGGCATGAAAACAACTTCGTCGTTACAGAAGGAACTCTAATTTAGACTATGAAAGCCCGTGGCTATACATAATCGTAACAATGCCGAACTTCGGCCTGCAAGACTACAATCTAAGCTTCACAGGTTTAGTTATCAGTACCAGTATCACTTTTCTTAAGGGACCCTCACTTTGAATAGAATATACCTCGGGCTACCAATCCTCGTGAGCACATCAGTGTTGAACCTTAATCTGAACTAGGACCACTACGTATAATGAGTCGAGAGGAAGAAAAACGGAAACTAAGATACTATCAGTACCGTTTTCAACATAAATAGGTATAGTTTACGCACGCGAATATATCTTTACGTGGTTTAATTTCAAGTTTCTAATATTTTAACGTTGCTTTGCCCAGGTCAATAACCTTGAAACCCACTTAAAGTCTAGTTCCTGATTACAATATTTATCTAGAGTTTAAAAGTAATAAGAGATTGTAAATATAACTCACAGGTCTTACGGCAATCATTCATTACAAAACGTATGAATTAGTTAAGAGTGTCTAGGCAAGTAGAACTTATCAGAAAGATTGAACTTTCGTAATAGGGAGTAAAGTAATGAATGTGAAGTGTGTTTGAAGAAATAATTCATAGGTAATTTAAAGGAGTTAGAGTTACCACATCATCAGGGGGAACCATGAATTTAACCAAGTCAATACTGTTAATATACGTATAGAGATTCCTTTTGATATGTGTCTCAGGGATCCTAGGCTGAACTTCTAAAGACTTAATAGGTGGTAAGATATCATCCAAGTTTATCTAAGTAAGGGCGTACTTAGTTCATAATTATGAGATGAAAATGTATGTAGGACTACATACGATTCTAACCAAATAACTGCGTATTAGTTAGGCAGCTTAAGACACCTTACACATACGCCTACATATTGTCACGGATACTCATAAAACTTTCCCTGAATCTCCCGTATCAACTTTCCGTGAGAGGTAGGTACATGTTGCTAGAATATTATGTTTCACCGACTCTTCGACGGCCTCTTCGACGGCCTCTTCATATTAAGATAATTTAAACCCACCCTTTCCAAAAAGAAGGTTGATATATATACTACTTAGTTACAAAAGAACCCCTTTCCTACTTTCTACGCACGTCCTGAATATTATGGCCTACAAATGAGTTAGGCCTGTTTCGCCGTGAAATCTGAACGGTAATTGAACGAGAGCGCTGAAATGAAGCTGCCGAAACTTGATAAATGACGCTTCTAAATCTTGAATCGTTGAATTGATGGCTTGTGCACCACACAAGAGACTACGAATTGCTTTTCCATAATTGCGACACATGAATTAATGATTAATGTAATGATACATGAAACACCATCTCTCTCTAAACCTTGAACGCTGGCGAGGCTCATCTTAAGGTAGTTACATAAGTTCAGTGGTAAGATGCCGAACAATGTCAAAGAGCGCGTCAGCCCTAGCAACAATACAGTCCTCCATACGGTAGACGCGTCATAGTAAGACCGACCTGTGCCCTTTCAGCCTCGGCTGACCTGGGAAGCTTAAATCCGGAATGAGCAATCCATGAGAAGTGGCCATGTTTATCTTCAAGGCAGACGCCGAGAATCTGAATCACGCGATTCACTTTCCATGTCTTCATACATACCTCATTCGACCATCTAATCTACCTAGATACATGTACATACATACATATCAAATACCTACCTACATACGTACCCCCCTGAGGTCCGTGGCGGTGGTGGCTCGGTCTACATATCACACCGGATATTATGGTCCTGCAATCAACGCGCACGAGCCCGAAAAAAGCCGTGCAAAACCGAACGCTCGCGAAAGGAATGAATGAATGCAACACGAGATCGAACCGAAATTTCGCCTTCGCCCGAAGACCACGCGTCGACAAAGAGCCGGAAATGCAATCCTTGATTACCCCACAGGCAAGCGAAGCTGGTTGAATAATTTACGATTTATTACTTTTTCCCGCGATGATGATGAGTACATACGACTATGAATATTATTATTATTATTAGAACCCTTCCCGCCGCTCGTTCTTCACCCGGCTTTTCTCTCGCGCATGTGGGTGGTGGATTGGCTTGGGTATCATTGCATCATGGATTCGCTGGCCTTGGACTCCGGGGGAGGAAAACCCGTTCCAACGATCAGGAGGCCCCCCTCTTCCATCGGGATCTCTATCTCTGTAGCAAGAAGAGATCGATTGCTATTAAAAAAGTGAAAGACGAAAAATAGAAGTCAAGAGAAGATGAATCCTAACGTCAGGAATCACAAAGGGAGCCTCTTCAACGTCATAGGACCTTAAGCCTTACCACTAGTGGCTGATTTCTTACTAACTTGGGACTGAGCGAGCCGAAAGGAATAACGCGCGAGTGAGGTAGTGTAGGTAGGTATGTACATATGAGCGCATAATACACTTGGTAGGGCGCAAAACCCACAGGGGATCAACCCGCCGCGTCCGATCTGTGCGTCAGCAGAGCTCTAACGAACTTGGGATCGTTCGTACGTTAGTAATAAATTAGATGGTCAAGGTTAAGCCATTCCAAGGTATAATACACATGTCGCGGTAGCGAGCGTACCCTTGAATTATCTGCGACGTGAAAGTGTACAGCCTACGATGGGATTCTAAACCAATTCCACATGGCTAAGTTCCTAGCTCCTTATCTTTCCTTAGCTAAGGGTCCTGGTATGTCGTATCTAAAGTTAGGACAGCTCATACGAAGTAAGGGAGGGTCGATGCGAGATTTCCTGGCACGAAAATCGGATACATCGACCGCCAGAAAGCAACTGTACATAGCTGTGTACGATTGCTCAACGATGCGGTGTGGTAGGGGTCACTGCTTCTTCATGGCTTGGATGGATGGATGAATGGATGGATGGAATACTGGGGGTGGTGAATAATTCAGCCCGTTGTGCGGAGTTGCCTCGTCTTGGCTTTTGGCTTCGGGGGCGCGTCGCCGCAAGGGTGCTGATCGCGAGGCGAGGTTTTGCTACAACACTAATGCAAGCTCTTTACAGTTGTAACCAGTAGCTTTATTCCGGAACTGGTTGTGAGTATGACGAGAAGAGATTTATGTGGTAAACAAGTTTATGTTGGCCTTTACCGTCGGTCCACTTTGGCTCACGATGTCGTACTGAATTGCTGGCCATATTAATAAATTCTTCATGCCTACCGTCCCATGGTAATCTTTCGCAAAGGCGGTTAGTTTTTGGTGATATGGCCAGTTGTAATCTAGTTTGTGATGGGTTAGAAAAATAGAAAGAAAAAAAAAAGAAAAAATCAACTACAATGCATTTTCTCGTGTAAATGATCCGCCAGAGCGGCCGACCCTGGAAGTGGTACCACCCATCTGGATTTAGGAATGGGGTATCCGTCAGTATGTACGGACAAGGACCTAGGTATCTTGCCTATGTATCCATTCCAATATCGACGATGCATGTACATACTAATCCAGGACTCCTGTGGGCGTCAGATTTGGGTAGGTGGCGATGGGACTGGTGACTCAGTGGGGGAGCCAGAATTCGGTGATGGACACATCAGCCAGATCAACAGTGACAGAGGCCATGTTATTAGGGCCGGAGAGACGGGCAAATAATGCGACAGCTCCCACATGAAAAGTGTTGGATAGGCGCCGTGCTAGGCGCCTCCCTTTCCCCAAGGGATGAATCATTGTGAGCTCGGTGGATCGTGGCGGGACAAACGATTTTGTATGGACGCTAGCATCTTGAATTGCAGGGAGGAATCTCTGGACATGGGAAGACTGTGGGTTATGCAGCGTGGGTTGTGGGCTCCGTTTGGGTAGGCTGGTGGCTGCGTTCCCTCCCCCCGACTGTGAGAGAATCTCTTAAATGGGTGGTTTGGATGCTGCAGGTAGGTCTGCAGAAGTCAGGGTTTCCGCAATACGACATATGTCTTAGATGCGGAGACTTGATCGTGAGGGGTTGCGAAGGCTTCCACTTATATTCCGAAGGCTTTTCACACCGCTAGAAAGGGCACACTCATCTAGCGCTGCATTCAACTACATACTCCTATCAAACTATTTTGTCATATAACCTGTCCCGTTGACGTTGCCCGATGGCTCGAGCTAAATAACCCAACCCCCCGAGGCTGGGTAACAGCGTTACTGGATGATGTATTTGAGAGTAATGTAGGTATTTATGAGATTATCGACCGAGGCTTCCAAGGCTCGGTCGGCATACGTAAGATATTTCTTTGATGACTGTTGATATAACCGTAAGCTTCTCATTCCGTTTGATGCCAGGGAGACGAGAAGCACGTGGGTGAGATTATTAAGTACGTACTAATAAGCACGACTTGACTGCCTGAAGTGAATCTCACATCCCCGGGATCGCTACTAAGTTGGGATGAATGGAACATGTTACAGATACAATCCCTATGTACTGTAGCGTTTCCGAAAGTTACTTGAGTTGAGTTTCTTACAATAGAAATAACCGGGGTTACGGACCCTGCCGCTTGTTGTCAAAGTAGAGCCATATGCTCTTCTGAAGTATTGTATAACTTTGTAATTTGTCTTGTTAAACTGTAATGCTTCGCGTCTTACAAGTTAGTAGATTAAGACCGACAGAGCCGTAACCACAGTTCATAATACAATGCTCGCGTGGGCATGGTCAGGACCGGCCTTTCCACGCGACCACAGCCACGGAACCCCTAGACATGCGGATAGCCCGTTGACCCGCATACTTTTCGGACCTGTTAGAGGCTACTAATGCAGAGACAGACTCGTGCGAAGAAGAAAAAAAAATTTCTTCGGCAGGAGAAGAGGGGTTACGAAAAATTAGAATAGACTAGTAGATCTCTAGAGCTTTCTGATATTCCATTGTTGTCTGTGGAGTACTGCAAAGCAACGTTTAGCCTTCGTTCCATACATACCTACCCTAACCACCCATGCACATATCGTAGGGAGGGAATCTGTTGAGCCGATGGCCGGTTGCGCTTGTGTGGGGGGTTGGAATACAGAATGCCGTTTCTATGTACATACCTACATACAGGAAACGTATGATGCTGATTCGATAGGCCATCCAAGCTCCTCTGTACGTACATAGGTAAGTAGGATAAAGGGATCTCGAGCTTAAGCAAGTCAACCTAATAGTCCATAGGTATGGTGCTTCACAACCATTGAAGGGCTGCAGTAATTCTGCGGAGATTCGTGATACGTGCGTACAAATGTGGCACAGGACCGTTTTGTGTCCTAAGGCGTCTGATAATCTGATTCGATCGCCTAGCCAGCCAAGTGGAAGCCAAGTGGATGGAGTAAGGGTCCATATGGGATATTCATAGTATCAATCCACATCCGAAGTCTCGCCAGGTGCTGGGTAAAGTGATCGGCTTTGAAGAAGGGTTGTTGACGTCTTATTCTCTACGTAATTGGTTAGATCGATAACCGAGATAGTGAGTAACTTAAGTCTTTCCATTACCTCATTAGTGAGGCTGGGCTATGAAGGGTGTTGCTAGGTGTTGCCCATTTCTGATAGCAAGCTGCATTAGGTCGTCTTGATCATCCAAGAATATTGCACCAATTCGTCTACACAGATACATAAGCCTTTTCGGCATCGCTGTCGTTGTAGCTCCATCCATCATTTCTGCATGTGTCAAGCAGGATGATTCATGCGGCGGTGACGTATGCATTATATATACATTATACATGAAGACTTGTCTTGATCAGCAGTTCTGGATTTCTTGGATGTTTTGAATAGCAATTGCGATCGAAATTTCATTACCAATTGTGATTCTCTCTGGTAAAAGCAACTAAGCAACTCAGTAATTTGAATTTATTATGTAGGTACCTACCTGGTATGTACGCTTGCAACGATCGGAGGTTTAGTGGATATTATTGCTAGAGAATTGAAAGCCGAGACCGATGCTTCAGTTTGAAAAATCCCTCAGAACTTCCAAGTTTCCTTGATATTACCAATTTAACTTTTTTCCCAGAAGATTTTAGGGGTTTTAGCGCAGAAGGACCGAGAGAGGGGTGGGTTTAGTATAGTGTATTGTGAAAATCCATTGCTCCTTATGAATCCTATAACTCTGATAGGCTAGTTCCTCATGGGTCCTCACGCCCTTTTGGAAATTATCGGGTTGGTACCTGAACCCTACGGGGGTACGTACTTACTTCTACCCCTTGGACGTTCGGTTGGCTAGACATTCTTCTAGCATATCCCGATTCGATTCGAGATTACCCCAGATATCGAGGGTATCTGCATGTTCTTTGGCTTCTACTAATGCCTTCTGTTTTTCTTGAAGAATTATTTTATTAGTTGAGAAATTTGTCATTTTCTTGTGTAATATATAATCTTGTATTGTATATTGTATTCGTTGGCCATCGACATATCAAATACCATCCATTACCTAGGTGGCTTTCTGCAGTCTCGTGGCGGCTCATTTGTTATGGACCTTACGTGTGTACCTAATGTAGGTAGGTATGTACCTACTATTGTATGCATGACTCCCGAAGATCCGCATCCAGAGGATTTATATTGTGCCGTCCCGAACAAGGGGTTCATTGGACATGAGCACATACGGGAGAGGAACCGTTGTCTATGCTGTACACCCCGAGACCCTTGATCTTCCATGTTTCTTAAATGGGCATCAACACGTGTGTGGCTTCGCTCATTAGTTTACGAGTTGACTTACATGGATTAGTGTTATGGATGCATATCAGAAACTGTCAATCTTGTCTTGTTGGTCTTTGGTGAGTCTGGCTGACCGGATTGTCCTGACAATTCACTCGCATGCGACAGCATCTAGGTTAGTGGTGATGGAGGTTTCATCCACGCTTAAGAGCCCGACCAAGTGGTCTGCTAAGTAGCATGCCCCGTGCTTCCATTAGAACACAACCCGAACCGAACTGCTGCATTGAGAAATGACAATACCGCAAAGAACCGAAGGCGCTATTTCTGTTCCACCGCTTGTACGGGAACAGCAGGACCGAGTACGGTACAGCTCAGCATCATACATGCGAGGGCAAGAATCCCGTTTTGACTAGATAGCAGACTGACCTTTTATCCAGATGGGGTGATGTAACGCATATCGAAACAAAGGAGGAGATGATAGGTAGTTCCGAAATGAGCAAAGGTCGAGCTAGTCGGGGTCCCGGATGGGTATTGATTAAAAAGACGCCCGCCCAGAAAAAAAGAATAATACTTTCCGCATTCAGAGGCATATTCCCCAACATCTGTTCAGGTCACGCGTCTTACTTGACAAGTCTCGACTGTTGCTTTGTAATGAATGTGAAGTCTCTCCACGTGTGAAAGGGAAGCATGAAGTCAACGCTTACTTACCTCGGTTAGCTGTTTTCATTTAGCTCCTCCACAGTATCGAGAGAATACATTTAACTAGTTGTTATAAGAAACCGGTAGTTTTAACTTGAAGCAGTTTGCACAGTTAAGAAACAAAGGACGAAAAGTACGTCTTGTAAGAGTAAATGGTTCACATACATCGATCCGTACATCTGCCATGAATATTAACAATGACTGAACTGAACATGGTGTAGAAACTAGCTAATACCGGCAAACTAGGACAGGAGTGACTAGCTGTAATTGTCGATGTTTAATGGTTGGATAATGGGAACGTCTACCTACTATCTTGTTAATTTGCTAAGGCGTAACTAAAATAGGTAGGACCCTGATCTTCAGTGGTAGACTTCGGCGTTAGTGGGAAATAAAGGCAAAGACTTTAACTTAGTGGATTGTCAAAAAAGTTTTCGAAACCTAATATAGAAGGGTCCTAAAAGAATAAGCCATTTGAAAATAAAGCATACATACCTGGGTAAGTACTGTAAAAGTTTCGACGAGATTTGTTAGGTTATCCTTGATGTGTACCTCTTATTAGATGGATGAATGGTTTTGATTTTTGATTTTCTTATTTTTGTTTTAGAGAGGAGTTTAAAGATGCCGGGATGTAATCCGCAGAGATATGGATCGTAGCAAATTTATTGATGGAATCGGTGCATTAGCATTGGAAGATTATCGTGTCTTTTTTTTTACGGACACCCCATTTACCAGAGCTCCTGCCGGGGCAACATCTCCAGGTATTAAAGTATTTGGGTACGACATGGTATCGGTAAACTTTTACTAGCAGTTGCCTGAACCGTGTTAGATTCTAGGCGCTGGATCCACCTGAAGAACCTGGACCACCGCTTCTTGCTACTAGCTCGATTCAGTCTGTACCCAATGGTTGCAATATACACGACCCCCTTGTTTCCACTGTTCTTTCAGTGGCCAACTCGCCTCTTTTTTTTTTTTTTCTAGGCCTGCGCGCTGGCCGCTCCCAGTTTTTCTTTACGGTAGGTTAGCAGGTTAATGGGCTGGGTACAGTAGGGGGACGCTATAAGTACGTATACAAGGTACCGAGAGGCGCTAGCGGTCAAAGAACGTCTGGGTCCCACTTGGTCTGCACGGAGACTGGTTGGTTGATTGTTTTTTTTTTCTCTCTATGTAAACTGGAGACATTCGAAGTTGCCATGGGGTTTCTTAAGTTGTGTAAGAAATGGTCCAGTGTGTGTGGGCTTGACCTTAACTAAATTTTTTTTTTCCTTAGGCCGTGCTCCATCAACATCATCACCTCTCTCTATTTTCCCCATCCTTCCCCAATCCTTTCAACCTCCCAAACACTTCCGCCTCAAACCCACCACTTTGCCGCTTCTACCTCCGTCTCCCTCTTTTTCTTCTTTCCTTTTTCTCTTACACCTTGCAATTCCGCCGCTTGCCAATATACTCGACTTCAACCGAATTTTCGATTTTCGATTCTCGGAGCTGTCGACGTCAGGATTCAGGTTGTTACGACACATTGGAACCCTAAGAAAAAGAGAGAGGCACAACGAAGTTGCACTTTGTTGTGCAGGAGAAGGTACTCGAGCTGGAAAGCAACACATCGGTCTTATTTGGATCCTATTTGCCGGTTTAAAGAGTGTTTCTCGCCCATCCTCCGCGGACAAAAGTGAACCAAAGTCACAATTGCGACGACCAATCTTGCATTTCAGCACGAACACCACTACCGATTACCGATTAGATTCAGCTCGACTGGACTCGCATATCACTCTTTCGCGAACAGCCTAGTTGCCGAATCTTGGAAGCGTTCTCACCACTATCAACATCCTTCGCATTAAGTAAGTTGATCAATCTTCTAGAATACTGCATTATTGCCGTCATTCAAATCATTTACGATCCCTTTAAATTGCCGTCACTTTCCATCGCGACTACGATTTGAGCACTTTCTGGATGCCGATACATATCCGAGCATCTGGATTATCACACGCACTTTCATGATTTTAACTTCCTAGTCACGTCCACAGTCTGCAATCAATTCAAACCCATTCGCGATTCAGCTTGGATCGCGAATGAAAGTTTGAAAGAATCTGTGCCATTGCTCCATTGCTCTCCATTTACTTTCATTAGCACGTCTCTTTTTTCCCGTTTCAACACTTCCAGACAATCAGCCTCGGCGCGCTTCCCAACCTAAGTTTAAACAAAACGCGCCCAAAGAGCGGTTCTACTTATGATCGATTCATTGTCCTAGAACATAATTGTTTTGTCAATCCACTAATACCAATAACTATAGATTTAAGAGGTCTTCACTGAACCTTTTATACCCTCGACGGCTTGCGCATATTTCCTACTCGAGTACGATTTGACACTAATTTCATCTATCCTAATCGCTGCCATCGCCCTAGCTCGGCAGACAGCGTGATTATTCACCTTTTCAAACACATTATTTCCTATTGGGACGAGTCTCTTTAGCCAGCTCTCGATTAGACCTATAATTCGATCTGTCGAGATAGGGACAACCGCTTCATGGCTTGCGCATCTCAATAGGGTTCTCAACAACCTTCCCCTCTATATTTTCTTATCTCTTCGGCCTTGGATATCACAGCCAGTTGTGTCGTGGTCTTTCCACCCAGCTGAACTGTCTCCACGTGCTTGAAGCAGAAACCCTCCGACAAAGGTCGACCTTAGATCTTTGACGGAGTCCTTCCACACAACCGCCATCATGCCGGGCGGCGTCTGCGCAGTTCTCGATTACGAGACCGAACTCATGGCAGAATATGTGGCTGATATGACGGTGCGAGTCATTCTCCCCAAGTCATCAGTTTCTGGCGCGTTCAGGAAGTTCGTGAACCAGATCCTTACTTCTACACGACTCCCGAGCACTACCATCCTCCTCGGAATGAATTACTTGGCAAAGAGAGTCAACATGCTCAACCAGTCTGGTTCATTCAATCCGAATGAGGGCCAGATGTGGAAAATGTTGACTATTGCTCTTCTCCTCGGTAGCAAGTTCCTCGACGACAACACCTTCCAGAACCGATCATGGTCCGACGTTAGTGGCATTGAAGTGTCGGAGCTCAACACTATGGAAAATGAGTGGTTGAAACATATCGGTTGGTCATTGTATGTCAATCTCGATCAGAGCCACGACTACAATGCGTGGCTCAAGAGCTGGAAGGAGTGGGAAGAGAACAAGAAGTTCCACCAGATCCAGCAACAGCAGCAACAACAACAGCAGCAGCAGCAACAGTCCCACATCGCTATGCGCGAGAGGTTGGCACCAATTGTTACTGCTATTCAATCGGAGCCAGTACGGCAGCATCATGCCCTTGCCATGCCTAGCTGGGCACAGGAGGAGATTTCCGAGCACGAACGTTTCAACATGAATGCCAGGCTCGCCCATACCGGGACCACTGGTTACCGATGTCGCGAGGGCTCCTGGCAAGGCTCATATTGCAATCCTTGGTCGCAGCCTCAGGCTCCTCTTACTCCTCCAGATTCTGGTTACGGAACCCCCGAGTATCTCAACTCGGCTGCTTCAGTCAATGCCTCTTATGATGAGTGGTTCTCTCAGGCTGTCAATGGGGGCTATAACAGACACTACAAGCCACCTGGTCACAACGGATACGGATCCCGTGGCGGATCCCATTTCCCTCAGCATTACTGTTCCCAATATGGTTCTGGTCCTTGGGACCCGAGCTTTCCTGAATGCTGTACTCAATGTCGGGCTCAACGCCATGGCACAGGTGCTGCTTACGTGTAATAGCACAGTTATACCCAGTCGGTGATGGGTTAGGCCTGATTTTAAGATGGCACGTCGTATTGTGTATCATCGATGCCAGTTTGGATGAGGCTGACTCTTGTGCTCAGCCGAGGTTTTATGATATGGGGAATACTTGCACTAATGTCTACTCTGGCATCATTCTCAGGCATGTTCAGGCACATAAATTTGTTACTCAGATACCCTCGGAGTTTCCTATACACTGGCGTAAGGTTTTCATCCCTGGTATGGGATTGGTTGGGTAAGGGAGGCCGCCGAATCGATTTTAATTTTCTCGCTTGAGTCGATATCCGTTCGCTCGTGTCGTCGTCGCGAAAGCATTCGATTCCGTCGATTCCTCGAATGCCGGTCCCGAATCCCCATATTCAGTGGGCGTCTCCTTCGCCTCGATACGTGTTGCTCCTTTTTTGATTTTTTTTTTTTTACGACGTCTCCGCATCAATAATTATAGCGGCGTTAATTGGTTTCGGTTTGTTGGGATGGTCCGGTATTCCTGTTCTCACTTGCAATAGATTATCGCATGTTACCTTCGGGTTCGCATTTCTATACCGGCGGCGGCAAAAGTCAAGGTTCTATTTTTGGCGTTCTAAAATAAAGAGATGGACTATACAGCTAGCCTCGTCGTCCTATCGCTCACCTATACCTTGAGTCTTATTTGGGACGGTAGATCTCGCTTCGTCGGTAACCCTTTTCTTCGCCCTGTGGAGTAAGCTGGCTATGCTTTCGCCTTCATCGGCCTAGGCCTATACTTCACGCGCTCACCAGGGTAGGACTGGGTTTCCTGTTCTTTTGTCTACGGTTCACTCACGATTCTTACGTTAATTCACCTCACGAGTATTTACCCGAGGCTGGCACAACTGATCAGCCCGGGGTTTTTTGAGCAGTCCTGTGGATATCTTGGATGCTTTCGGGGGTGTTTCCCACAGTCTATGTTCCCACTGTACAGCTCAGACTGGAATATGTCTTTCAGTATGTTTGAGGGCTCATAGGATACGTTTTTTTTTGGTACCTTTTTTTCTCGGGTTGAAATAAAGAAAATGGGCATTGGCCCAGCTGTAGGACGCAGCATGGGGAGTGGGATAAAAAAATTGGGCTGCACTATTTGTTTTCTACTCCGTGTGAAGCATCTTGGAGCGAGTACCCAGCGGCCTTCATAAGACATGGATGTCTTCGCCTTTGTCCTGATCAGCTTAGTAATGAGTGGCAGTTCTGGCACCTGGTACGCCTCGATGTCTACGTCACTTAGCTAGGTGATGAGAGGGAACCGTGTATTGGGCTTTCCTTCACTACTACTGTTCTTGCCTCCTTGAGATGGGGTATTTCGATTGATTTCCTTTCACGATTACCATGACTAGAGCCTGGGTGAAAGGCTAAGTAAGAGGGGTACGGGTCGAGGGTTGGGGTCTGAAGGAGGTTGTTAGCGATGCTTCGCACATATAACCGTATGGTAAGGTTTGGCTGTCTTGAAGTTTGCATGGCTATAGGCGTCCTCGATACAGACAACGAGGTGTCATGGTTGACAGCCCATCGAGGCTTTTTTTCGGCTTATTGTTACGTACAATTGATAAACCTAGACTAAAAATATTAAACTGCAAACTTCACGAAGATATGGGTGTCTCTTGTGATATCGGGTATATTGACCCGTCAAATTGTTACTTTAGGTAGATACCCTCTATAATTGGAAGATGATTGAATTCCGTATGAAAATGAGCAAGATTTAATCCAGATGATTTAAATGATTTAAGGCCTGTTGGACTGTTGGACTGTTGGACTGTTGGACTGTTGGACTGTTGGACTGTTGGACTGTTGGACTATTGGAACTTGTTATGGTTCGGTACTTATCGATAAAGACTGGTAACAGGATCCTAACGTCAATATTGTGTGATCTTCAACCTGAGACTAGAAAATGAATCTTTAAGATGAACATTCAAGATGAACCTTTAAGGATTTAAGTATAACTGACGAATCAAATAAACTACTTTATGAGTTTTCTAAAAGACACATGCTACCTCTTAATTCTTATCTGCGCACCTATACATTAAAACATCTATAGAATAACAAGTGGAATGTCATCCCGTTTCGTGTCGGGCGGCACCATCGCCGGCGACGACGGTGAACCGCAGCAGTCCGCATCCGTGCCACCTTCAAGCAAGACGCAGGAAGCGCCGGAAACACAGAAATGGGACAAGGAAACCATTAAGAGAAACGCCGAATGGGAAGCCGTGCAACGCGACCTCGAAGCTGACCGCCGGAGACGCGAAGAGGCGCGTAGGGCACAGGTCGAGGGGGGTCTTGGTGGGGAGAATAAGACCTTGTATGACATTTTACAAGCGAATAAAGGTACGATTTGATTTTCTTTAATACTTTTATTTTATTTCATTTCTTTTTCGAGGTCCTATGACAGCATCGTAGGAGGGAGAGAAATATGTGCCTGTATATGTACGAGACCGAAAAAGCTAAAATAAAGGATATTAGCGGCTAAGCAGGCTGCATTCGAGGAGAAGACTCGTATCAGCAATCAGTTCCGCGCGCTGGACGACGATGAGATCGACTTTCTGGAAGGCATGCGTGATGAGCGACGCGTTGAGGAAGAGAGGGTCAAGCGTGAGACGGAGGAGAGGTTGGCTCGTTTCCGACAGGCGCAAAAGGCTACCGGGACTACTACTTCTTCGGGGGATGCCGAAGACGGGGATGCCGTGCATGAAGGTATCGATGGTGATGTCGGGGCATGGACCGGCGGGGCAAAGAAGCGAAAGAGGCCGGATAAGGAGGTGAAGACCATTGTTAAGGGTGTGAAAAGGAGAGCTAGTGGGTCGGAGAAGGAAGTTGAACGAGCTGCCGCACCGGATACGAGGCCGGAAGGGCTGAAGGCAAAGTCGGAATCAAAGCCTATACCGAATGTCAGGGCAAACTCTGACCCGAAGTCTTCGAAACCCATAGAGGAGAAAATGGTGCAGGAGGAGCCAAAACCTAAACCGAAGCTTGGCCTGGTGGATTATGGCTCCGACGAGGATGACGATGATTAACGCACCTCGACTGAAGCTTCATGCTACTAATTCATAATGGCTATTCACTTACCGCCGCCATAATCCCTGCTACTCGAGCCTTGACACAGGTTGAGACCTAATATCAATTGGGAACTAAAGAGATATCTGACGAGATATATGTACGATGGGTGAACTCAACGTCTGGTATGAGAATCAACGAACTAATCGAGAGACTGATAATTGAGACCTACGACTATGGTGGGTAATATATACTACAAAGACCAGACCTGTCATCCAAGGTGTTCGACTACTATGCTCTAATATGAAGAGTCAACCCACCAACTCTACAAACTACTCTTGTTATAGCGGATACAAAGAGCAATGCCACATATCACATATACAATGTACGAATAAGACAATAATTAGCTGAGAAATAGTGCTCCAGAGTTGTGAATTTTTTTTTAATGCAAACATAATCACATGGTCGTCATATAATACCCTACATGCATGGCGTAGCACATCCCAGCATTGCCCCCCTACCACCACCTTCTATGCAGATCCGATGCGTTGCGGCATGTTAATACAGGCAGAGCCGTATACCGACCGGCAATGCACGATGAGGTTATCCTTCTATGCATACTATTATATTTTTACATTTGAATCCCTGGTGATTGCTAGACCGAGGCAAGTCCGGACAGGCGATTAGGTTCGACGTTCACTCATCGGGCCACGCGGGGTTGGGCTCGGGCTTCGAGATGGCCCAACGGTACAAGCTCCGCAAACTGCCCTTTATCCAACCCTCTATCTCCTCTTCGGGGACCACGATTTCCTTGGCGCGAGCCTCCTCCTCGGGCTGAATCTCGAAGCGCCGCATGCGCATCGCGATTCGCGGATCTAGCACTATGGGCCTTGTCCATATCTTCTCCTGAGGCGTGGCGGAAACCTTCTTTTCTTCGCCCTCCTTGGGCTTATCTTCTTTCCATATAGCCTTAGGCCAGTCCTTCTCCTCGTGCTCGAGAGCAGTCTGTTGCTCTGCCCGTGTTAGGTCTGGGTCCTCGCGGTACTCGCGCGCTGCTGCGAGGCATGCGGCTGCAACTTCGCGGCCTATGTCGTCGGCTAGGTGGCGACGGTTGACGAAACGTCTTAAACGTATGAAGGTGTTTGAGAAGCCGAGAATATGCGGAAATGGTATGGGTACTGAAGGGGAGAACTCGGCGGGAATAAGCATCGGGAGGGGGGAGGTGGGATAGTCGTTCGTCGTGTTGTACGGTGGTGGCTGCGGTGGTCTCTCAGGTTTCTCTTCGGGCTTCGGCTCCTGCTTCTCGCCTTCGCCCCCTTCCGCAGCTGGTGTCTCTTCAACTTTCTTCACTTCGGGCTCCGGTAATACGGGTGGGGTGAGAGGTCCTAGCCAGCCTTCGTGTATACCCCGAACGTACTCCTTCCACGTATGCCGTCCAATTACGATATCGCCTCGAAGACCCTGCCACTCGGGCGTCGCATTCTTTTTTCTTATCTCCCGCACTATCTCCTCCTGAGTCTGCACCTCTGTCTCCGGCTGCCTCGTCCGTCGTATCCTCTCAGCCACCGCAGCTCTAATGTCGCCCTCTTTCCTGCCCTGCACAAACTCCCAGTCTAATCCTGATGCGGCCAATATCGGCTTTACGTATTCGGTGAAGTGGTCCTGCGCCACACGGAGACCGTCACCGGGGGGACTCTCGAGGAAGATGGTGAGTTTTCGTGGTAGCTGGGTCGGATTCGTGATGGGTTCGCGTGCGAGGTGGGAGACTGCTTTGGACCACCGGACGGTTGCGCGCTTCTTCTCGCGCTTGTCGTATATTATGGCGGCGGAGATGGATCCGGTAATGGCGAAGAAGATCATCCAGTTGCGAGAGGGGAGTTTCTTAGGTAGTCCGGGTATCCCCATCATACGGAAAGCTGGGTTGGGTGTTGGGGCCTTGTAAGTAGCCCCAGAGCTTGTCGCTGTCGCTGTCGCTGTCGCTGTCGCTGTCGCCGCCGCCGCCTGTCGCAGGTTAATAAGACAGCTTATTTCAGTTTTCTAGACTTTACTTACAGGCGAAGCCGACGCTGAAGAAGCGCCTTGGACGGGGGGCTTTTGGTCCGCCATAGCGAATTATTATCCTCGGATTTTTGTATTAGCCACAATGCCGAGAGTGAATCTTTAAATTTGCTCGAGGTTCATCAGATGCGGCCGATAACAAAATTTCGATGGGGTCGGATCTATGTAGCTCCTATCGGTGAACCCCACGCTCACTTACCGGTTTAGGTAGTCCCAGCCAATCAAATGAATTTATTGAATAGCGGATATCTAGGTACTCTGGTACTTAATAAAATGGGATATCTGCATGGAAATTCTGGATAGCAGGCTCGAGCATTCTCCGATATATTAAAATGCAAGTATTTAGAGGCCATAGCGAGAAACTCGAGAGACTTGAATAATTTCGAGAAATATGTATGAAGGGTCAAATTATTATTATCAAGGTTCCCTGCTAAGTAAATTAGTTGAAGGGGTTTAAGACCGTTGTTTGATGACTTCTTATTACTTTATCATATTAGCCATTAGGTACCTAACCTTAGCAAGTTTCGAAGCTTCTAAGATACCTAACCTAGTGGCTATTATCCCATATAAGTTCAGACGTATGTAAGTGTTCTAACTCAAACACAAAGATGGTACAGACATTCTTTCTCATTATGTAATAAGCTAACGATAAAATGCTAGGAAAATAAACAATGCAGCCAGATGTCATCGTTGTCTTTTTAAAAGTAAACATGCATTGCATGTGATAATAGGACGAGATATGGGGTGATGTATGTGCGTCAGGCGTCAGGGACGTTAATCAAGCTTGAGTTTCGAGTTGCTTGCGGACGCACATGCAATCACGACCTTACAATTCCTAGCTTGGAGCGGCTACGTGCATAGTCTCCATACATATGCACATGGCAATACTTTAACAGATAAACGAAGCACCCTGGCCCTAACATGCTAACATGGGAACATGGGAGCGCCCGGGGTCTTGGCACGCTACACCAAGAATGGCTAATCGCCTGTCGATAGCGCCCCTCCCCAGGCGGTTGGCGTGCTGGCGAGTGTTTTCAGGGGCTTCGTCGCACCCACTTACCGTCCTCTTTAGGGAATTACCTTGACCAGTAGCATTTTATTCCATTATTCCATTCGAGGGTTGGGATCCATCCAGACAACTTCATATAATTCTGAAAAATCCCCCCCCTCGCACACTCTCTTTACCTCTATTCCTTACTGGGCCAGGAAATCAAGTCATCGTTCAGTTGTGTACGGATCATTTCGTTTATGCGAAAAGGGGAATACTAGGAATTTCCAAGTTGAATTCCAGTGGTACCCCTCTATCAACTGCGGCGCACTTTCGCGTTGCTAGCAATCGTTACGAGCCGCGACATACATAAATTTGGGCCTATCTATTGTTCTCTTCACCTCCTCTTTCGACAGTCGCTTTCTTGAGACATTGATCAATATTGCGGTGAACTCGATATTCAAGGAGCCAATGAAGTTTTAGCTACCCACAACAATATAGTTGTCCTCTACCTATCTAACTAATCCTAGCTACCCTTCTCAGTTACCAGTTACCAGTTGCCAGTTACCTCTAAGACTTGACTTCTACTCGTTACCTCGATTTACACTCAATTCCAGGTTAAACCTTTCTCTTAGGAAATACTTGACAAGTCAACTCTGAAGCAATCGCAACCAAGATGGACCCTAATAATCGCCTTTATCTTAACTTCAACAGTAACGAGCGGCTTGGTCCCTCAGACCGCCAATATCCTACCACACCCTCTACCTTCCCTCAGCCGGTCTTCCCAACGCCTTCGCAACAGCATATTGCTGCCCAACAGCCTCAAGCTCCTCAGCAGTATGCTGGTGGTTATGCTCCCCAGGGCAATTACTTTGCGCCTAACCCATATCAGGCTCCCGCCGACTACGGTAGTGCCCAAGCTACAGGAGCATATCAGCCTCGATCCAACACTCCAGGGACCAATGATCCCAATGTCGGTCTGGCTCACCAGTTCTCCCACCAGAATCTAGGAGGTGCCGGTCGAGGCGGTTCCTATGGAACGCGAGGTCCTTCGCCAGGTCAGCGACCCCGAACTTCAGGCTCGTCCAGCCAGCAACCTGGTTATAACTATGCGAATGCTCCTCCCGTGCCCGGCCAAGGTTCCCGCCAGCCCGATTTCCAGCCTGCGCCCGAACGAAACCCCGAGAAATATGGTCTCAATGCAAACAATAACCAGAAAAAGTGTTCGCAGCTGGCTGCTGATTTCTTCAAGGATAGTGTCAAACGCGCTCGCGAGCGCAACTTGCGGTATGTCATTATAGTTTAGCCCAAGATCGACTGTTACCATTGACGTCGAAGAGGATGCTAACTGCTCAATTACGAATAGACAGAGCGAGATGGAACAGAAACTCTCAGAGCCCAATCAATCCTCCTCGAGGCGCGAACAGATTTGGCAAAACGGCGGCAAAAAGGAAGCACGCTATTTACGATTCTTGCGAACTAAAGACAAGCCTGAGAATTATACTACAGTAAAGATCATCGGAAAGGGTGCTTTCGGAGAAGTCAAACTGGTCCAGAAGAAAGCCGACGGTCAGGTCTATGCGATGAAGTCCCTAATTAAAACCGAAATGTTCAAGAAGGACCAATTAGCCCACGTTCGAGCTGAGAGAGATATCTTAGCCGAGTCTGACAGCCCTTGGGTTGTTAAGCTCTTCACGACGTTCCAGGATGCCAACTTCCTCTATATGCTGATGGAGTTCTTGCCTGGTGGAGATTTAATGACGATGCTTATCAAGTACGAAATCTTTTCCGAAGATATTACACGATTCTATATCGCAGAGATCGTGTTAGCTATCGAGGCCGTTCATAAGCTTGGTTTCATTCACCGGTATGATTACAACTCGGTTATTTATAAGTACTTTCTGTTACTGACTAGATGGCATAGTGATATCAAGCCTGACAATATTCTTCTTGATCGGGGTGGGCACGTCAAGCTTACCGATTTCGGTCTATCCACAGGTTTCCACAAACTTCACGATAACAACTACTATCAACAACTTCTGCAGGGCAAGTCGAGTCGGCCTAAGGATCGGAACTCGGTTGCTCTTGACCAGATTAACTTGACGGTCAGCAACCGTTCCCAAATTAATGACTGGAGGAAGTCTCGAAGACTGATGGCGTACTCAACCGTGGGAACCCCTGACTATATCGCACCCGAAATCTTTACAGGACAAGGTTACACCTTTGATTGCGATTGGTGGTCATTGGGTACTATCATGTTCGAATGTCTTGTCGGCTGGCCGCCGTTCTGCGCCGAAGACAGCCACGACACGTACCGGAAGATTGTTAACTGGCGACAATCACTTTATTTCCCAGACGATATCACACTTGGAAGAGAGGCCGAGCACTTAATCCGAAGGTAAGTTTTGTATTGTGTCATTGATTTTACGTTAGCTAATAAAAAATTCAGTCTCATCTGCAATACTGAGGTGCGACTTGGAAGAAGTGGAGCTCAGGAAATAAAGAGCCATGCGTTTTTCCGCGGTGTCGAATTCGATAGTCTTCGACGTATTCGAGCTCCGTTTGAACCTCGTCTAACATCAGCTATCGACACAACCTATTTCCCAACGGACGAGATTGATCAAACAGACAACGCAACAGCTTTGAGAAACCAAGCCATCGCAGGTGGGAAACCAATTGAGGAGTCACCCGAGATGAGCTTGCCGTTCATCGGGTACACGTTCAAGCGGTTCGATAACAACTTCCGTTAAGCGTGTGGTTGATTTATCTGGTCTCGACTATTCAGCCCTTTCCGAACCTAGTTGGTTTGTGATCTCTAAGAGCTAAGGTTAGGACAATTGAGGATTTGGACTTTGTGGGGGTCGTGGCTGAGGCCACTAAATTGTCTGGCATATCCCCGAATCCAGGAAATAATGTTGCGGTGAGACCTGGTAGTCTCGTGCCGAAGAAAAAAGGAAGAAAAAAAATATTAAGCCACATCTCTGAAATGAAGACATGGTAGTCTGATTACGTTAATATCTTGGCTGCTAAATCATGAGACGATACCGCTTTTGTATTTTGCGATGTTTTCGATGCGTGACGAGCTAGATGACATAGCAGTAAACTACTTACAAGTAGTTGGTCAACGTGGCTACTGAACGGTTATTATTATCTTTACTCTACTGTGAGGTGTGAGTGTAAATATGCTATCCGAAATGAAAGTGTAGTTGCTGTAACGTTAGCTGTAGATTGATCATAATCTTTATTTGATAACTTCATAACTTCATAACTTCATAACTTCAAACTTGCATGAAGATAAAAATAAAAGGGGGGATGATTACCTAAGTGCGAGTTTACTTGACAGCTGTTGGTGGCCGGCAGTTATTATCTTATCTCCCTAGCTTCCAAACGCCATCAATCAATCAGAAGCTTCTCATTCTCAGTCCCATAATTACACGCTTCCCATCTTATACCAACCACCAAACACCAAACACCATCGAAGTTTCCGGTCAATCCGCACGCAAAACCTCAACGCGACGAAAGAGCTCCGAAACTAGTATATAAATACTATAGATATCAATCAAACAACGCGGAGGAAGATACGATATGGATTACCAAAACCGCGCCGGCTCCAAGTTCGGCGGCGGTGGTGTCGCCTCGCACAGCGCCACCAATGCCGACCGACGAGAGCGTCTGCGCAAGCTCGCCCTCGAAACCATCGATCTCGACAAAGACCCCTACTTCTTCAAGAACCACGTCGGCTCGTTCGAATGCCGTCTTTGCTTAACCGTGCACCAAAATGACGGGTCCTACCTCGCCCACACCCAGGGCAAGAAACATCAGACGAACCTGGCGCGCCGCGCCGCCCGCGAGCAGAAAGAAGGAAAGAGCCAAATCGATCCCAACACGGGACTGCCCGTAGGCGTGGTAGGCGCGGGCTTCGGGGCGGGCATGGTGCGGCGCAACATCGTCAAGATCGGGCGGCCGGGGTACAAGATCACGAAGGTGCGGGACCAGGTGACGCTGCAGCAGGGCCTACTGTTCCAGCTGCAGTACCCGGAGATCGCGCAGGACGTGACGCCCAAGGTGCGGTTCATGAGCGCGTTCGAGCAGCGCGTCGAGGAGCCGCCCGATAAGAACTTCCAGTACATGCTCGTGGCGGCGGAGCCGTACGAGACGTGCGGGTTCAAGCTCCAGGCGAGGGAGATCGATCGCTCGGGGGATCGGTATTGGACCTGGTGGGATGCGGATTTGAAGGAGTTTTGGATCCAGGTTATGTTTTTGACGGAGAGGGAGGAGAGGTATGTTGGAGTGCCGGGTTTGCCGGGTCGGAGGTGATTGTTTTGTGGTGGGGTTGGAGGTTTTTTTTAGATGGAGAGGCGGATGAGGTGAATACCCAGTAGTGTTAGGGAATATTGGAGAAACGAGTTATTGCAAAAGGGGGAAATACAGTCGAAGGTGATAGTCCGGCCTCGACGATAATTATACGCTTTCTCGATCGCTTCCCAATCATGTTAAGCCTCGTCCTACGATGGCTAACATCCGACAACCCCATTTCCCGCCTGTGTAAGTGGCTTATTAAAGGAATACCCTTGGGAGGATGTGGGTGATGCCATCATGTACTAATACGAAATAGACCTACATCGATAATGATTTATACATCGTTTTTAAGGCTTAGGGAACAGGCACCAGATAAGAATGATATCATGTAGTACCAACAGCGAAAATTTACCCTCTGCCATTAACCAAGCCAAAGTAATGGCCCACTAAGCTAGATGCATGTTCTCGATTTTTTAGTCAACATCTAAGACCATCTTGACTGCCCCCCCTCTTGGATATCTGCTAGCTCGATGCCTTTGGCTTTATCACCTAATATCGGGGGGAGAAAGTTCGCAAGTGTACAAGAGTGTTGGCCTTCTGAGGATGTCATTGATTTTGGGAGGCCGATGGTCTTTGGTAGCACGGCAATCCATTTGGGAGTAGTTAAATCCCACATCACAACCATAACCGTCAGGTAACTCCAGCGAGTATATGGGGAATCTAGCTGCGGTTCGAAGATCCCTAGCTCCTGGAGCTGTATACTGAGTGCGCCCAGCATCATCGACGAACACGCGTATGAGCATCCAGCTTGGCGCTCGCGTAAGCGTTTAAGAAGGTCATATAAATAAGTAAAAAGCTGACCCAGGAGCTTCTCCCTCTGCTCATCGATTCTATCTATCGAAGCGATTAGCATGTTGTCCAGGTACACAGACATGATTAGATAGACTATAGATGCTTACCAGCCACTGCCGTGATTGGCAGGCCTAACGTTGGAAATTTGCCTTTACAATTTTGTATAGCGACCAGCGTTGCATCCTTGAATGGTCTTTCTTTACGGAATACTTGAGTAACTAAAATCCATAGTACAGTATCCCTGTCGAGCGCTCCTCCTTTATGATTAGGTAGCATGTCTATCCATGCATCTGACCACATCATAACTGCCTCATGACATTGGTAATAGTCAACCAGTACGGCAACTTTAGCGAGTTCTTCAAGAGTCATTGATTTGGGGACTTTGTAATTGTGACCGTGGATAATTCGCATTAGAAGGAGCATAGAAGCCTCATTCCAATCCTCGGCGTCCACGCACAGGCGACCATCTGGGGATGTTGGCGTTGCTTCTTTCCAAGGACCTCGCAGAAGGTTCTTAAAGTATCCAGAAGCTAAAGACAGGTGCCTTGACGAGAGTAGGAATTGGACGTTAGGCGTCGAACTTGTAGGTTGGTCTGATATGAGTAACCCTTGCTCTTTCTCGGGAGTAGCTTCCGTTTGAGTTTGGGGATTGGCCTCCCGCGGAACGGAATTCTGAGAAGCTGTCTTCCTATACCAGTGTTCATCCCATACAGCAAACGGTGCGTTCGGGTTGTGAAGTGTAAGTAGGACATCTCCTTGAGGATCAAGCTCCCAAGGCGCTACAACCGGATTCGCCATGATGCGAAATATTATTACCTCCTCTCGGGTTTGTAATGGAAAAGAGGGAAATATTGTTGTTGCTTGTGTACCTAAGGCACCTAAGGTACCTGGTAAACATCGAAGTACGAAGCTCGAGCCAACTCGGCCACAGGTTAGTACCTACCTGCTTCTTCGCAACCAACCATACACAAGGCAAATACTAACTGAGGGTAGACAACTACCCATATCACCAAGTTATTACGACCTATCAATAATGCTTTACTAGGTACCTACCCCGCACAAACGCCTTCACTATAAGTAAGGCGCTTAACCGTCTAGACCAATAACATCTCTTGTAAAATAGTTGTTGAGTACATGACATGTACTTTGATTTGTCCCTTCAAGAAAAAAAGAAGAACATATAATTAGACTATGGACTATTATTTGATTACTTGCCTTGTAGGTATTGAGTTAAAATGAGCATTTTTCGAAAGAGTTGGGAGTTATGTATGGAACAGGTTGGCCTTATGAGTAAGAGCTTTGAAGCCGGACCTCCGGGGGTAGGCGGATATCCGGGATATAATGTTTCTATAGCGACTTGGGACTTGGTAGACATTACATGATAAAATTTTCATAAACTATACGAAGTTCTAACTCCATCATGAGAATACTCTGCCTTCACGCTGATAGCCAGAATCAGGCAATCTTAAAATCAGAATTAGGTACCTAATATACTCATGTATTATTACAACTATGTTATCTCCCTTGCTGACCCTTTGAATAGCTTCTTTACTACCAAAGTTGCAACATTCAAACCCAACCCTCTTGTTTGAATTTGTTAACGGCCCTTTGCAATATTCAAGCTTACCAGCGGAAAACTCATCGCCCCATGAGATACATCGCTATAAGTTTTACGAGGCTGAAGAAGTCGAAGATATTCGTAAGGCTAGCGAGTGGCTAGCTACAAAGTTAGACAATGATGGACCCTACGATGGCGTCTTAGCAGTTTCTCAAAGCGCCGCTGTTGTTTCCAGCTTCTTATTATATCGGCAGTGGTATGATCATGAGTTACCGCCAGCGTTTAAATTCGCCATTTTCATCGACGGAAGAATTCCGCTCAAGATTCTAAAGGACCTCGGAGTGCCTGTCTCGAACGAGGCAGAAGGTGTAGTAGCGGAAGCAAAACTGCAGCGAGACCGAGGCCTTGGTCCTTTACCAACTCATACGACTAACGCGCGCCGGGCAGTGTTCAACTCAGACGATTGTTTTGGGTTAAACCTGAACAGAATTCCGCTGGAGCTGAAGATAAGAATACCGACCGTACACGTATGGGGTGAGAATGACCCTTTGTTTCCGACTTCAGTTCAACTCACGGGGCTCTGCGACCCATATATTAGAAAGATACAAATACATAAAGGGTCTCACGAAATGCCCCGCGATGAGGACGAATTATCGGAGTTGGTATCACTGATTGAGTGGTGCATCCAGCGTGCGACATGGCCTGGTCAAATGCAATTATAGAATTTTATTGATCGGGACTGGTATGATGGCGAAATTGTAGACGATGGTTTTATAGCACTTCATGATTTGATTCAGCGGGATGATAGTGTCGCATACATAAAACATTGTTAAACGTTCTTCGTAGAATTCCCCTTTAACACAATTTGTTGCGTGGCATGTGATAGGAAACTGATGGATGGGAGTAATGACTCCCTTGTCTCAGCCTAGATCGTCATCCGAGTCACCCCAACACAACCCGAATGATCTCTGACTTAACGATCTTAAGGGGTATATGGTCGTTGTATTTCAATTGTACTCTTTTCGTTTATCCATCTCTCTTTAGTGGTTTTCTTTTATCTAAAAAAAAGAAAGCAGAAGTGTGTTATGAATTAGGTCCTGAAGATATTGGGATTTGCGTTGCATACAAAGCGGAGTCGCTGGCTTGTTACGGTTAGTATACCTGTTCGATGTTGGTGTACAACTCGTGATCTTCGACCATCTTTAAAGATTGATAAGAATTACACCACCAATATCGACTTTCTTACTTATGATATAATACTATGAAAGAAACAGTAGAAAGAGGAACGGCATTGTACGTAAGAGGGATAGGACGAACGATCCAAAGATGGTAAGTTGCTGCGGAACGACCGAGGCAAGGGGAAGTTCTCTTGATATGGAGTCAGCCAAATATTCTACAAGGTAGGGTTACTATCACACTGGAAGCGCCGGCTAACCTCTCCTTGTCGTCCACTCCGACGTCACTGATCGGTACTGCTTACTTTCGGCTTATAGTCTGACTATGCTATTGTTACTTTTGGACAGCGAGTGTTCTTTCCTACGAGACCTCTTACCTGGCTTCTCTCCCTGAGGAGCGACCCCTGACTGAGAGATCAACGTCAGCAATTCCTCTTCAAGTTCCCATAAGGTTATATAATTATGTCAGCAACTAGCGACGAGTCCTATCAGCGTGATGAGAATAGACGTGAGACAGATTGAACCTATTCAAAGCGAGGCGATGACGAGATGCAAATCATGTAACGGTGCATGACCCTTCGGTCAGGTGAGACGACTCATAGGGCCCTTACTTGTGGCATCTACTACGATATATACGCTACCATATATAAATAAGGTTTCATAGTCTCCTGACTCGAGGATTAATATTCATAGCATTTCAAAATCCAAGATACTGCTACTCTCAAAGTCCGAGACGAGGAAATACTATCTCTTGGCAAGAAGTTTCACAACGATGTCTGATATTAAGGATGTCCACTCTCCTCTCCTTAGCCCGGGCTCGAGGACTTCGGTTCCTCAGATAAGCTCGCCCTCGGTACCTAAGTCATCTAGATCTCCCGCCTCGCCTCAGAAGCCAAGCATAGCGAACCCAACTCCGACTGACCCTGCACCCATAAAGACAATCACCAACCTATCTTGGGGAGCCCCTGCAGGCCTTGCTATCCGTGGACCTAACGACGAGAACCTCGTTATCTTTAGAAAGGCGCTAGGAATAAACTATGCCCGCGATACTAATGAGAGTGGTACTCTCGAAGAAGGACGCAATACCGCGGTTGGCATATACAAATCCGTGATTCAAACTCAACAGATCAAGGGCGTCCAAAACGCTCTTCTCACTGCATTTCTCTACCTTTGCTACTTTGCTCAGATCGTCATCGGCGCGGCACTGACTGCCATCGGTCCAAATTCTGGACGATACGAAGTTCTCATTACCGTGCTCGGAGCTATCAATACGGTCTTGGCTGGTATTCTAGCTCTGATTAAGGGATCTGGACAGCCACAGAGACTGGAGAAGGACCGTGTAGGGTTTAGGAGGCTACAGGACTGGATCGAAGAGACGGAAGCGCTACTCGCAGTGGGTGTGATTGGACGGAATAGGAAGGAGGTTGGCTTATTAGTCGAAAGTGCTTTTAAACGATACAACGCAGCCAAGATGAGCGTGGAGAATAACAGTCCCGACTTTTACGTCCACCAGCCGGATTCGGGCGACGACATGTCGGATACTGCCGGGAAACCACTACGGTATAATGGGTCTTGATCTGACAACCTCAAGCACCTAACTATGCGGATAGGTAACGGATATTGGCTCTTGACTAAATTTAGAGTCTTGTCAGACTACAAGGGGGGTTGAGGATAATTAGGGGGCGTTCCGGATGACTGATGACTTAGATGGGGTTACATTATTTAAACGTAAGTGGCGATAGAGAGTTGGCTTCTAGTTGTACTTCTACACGTTCTTAAAATTTCGATGCGTACCTGTATTGTCTAATAGACGTCTCTGAAATCTGATATTGGTTGTTACACACGTACCTGCGTAACTGTATGACATACACAGCCAGTCCGGGGTGGCTAGCAGTTTAGTTTTTGGTTTTTGGATGTCGTCAGCGTGGATGTTTAAGGGGAAAGATATTACTATTGGTAAGATCACGGCACTCATGTCGTCCTTTGTGGCTTTGGCTGACCTCAGAGATTGTAAGACTAGACCTCAATCATTCAATATCCACGATATGGCGTAAGCTTTTGTACGCCGTATTGGGGTTAATTGCATTCAATAGTGCTGACAAGTCGGTAGTGCGTTGATATTCTCAGCACTATTAAAGAGCCTCGTTTATCTAAGACCACGTGAATAACAGCAATTCTTAGCCTCGAGCTATTTTCTCGAAGTTCTATTCCTAGAGATACCTAGATCCTCTTTGTATATTAATATTAGGTTCGATAACTTCCTCACCCACTCTCTTGTACATTCAGAATGAGGTTCAAGGTATTTCTTTAATATGTCTGAAATCTTCTCCATTCAATCTCGTATCACCTATATTTTATATCCTAGATGGTTAGCCCCTTAAAAACGCAATTATCTCTCTATGGTTTCTAACAAAATTGATGAGTCTAGAGATTCTGTCGGGTTCCCAACTGCCTATTAAAAGGTAATCGTCGTAAAGGGAAGAAGGTATACAATATTCCTAGTATCGAAAGTCGTATTAGGCCTAGGATATATATAATACTATATTAATAATTGTAGTATAGATAATATTGTTTTTTTAGGTACATTGTAAATCCTAAAGTCATTGAAGGGGGCACCAATGATATGCTTATCCTCAGCTATAACATGGCGTTTTGCACCATTTTTAGATCCCCTAAGATCCTCATCGCGGACTTATCCGTAGTCTACTTAAGGGCGATGATCTATTCTATTACCACCCAACTCTATAATCGCTGTAGCAAATAGCGGAGGTGACGTGTTGTACAATTCAATACGTATTGTGGTAGTGTTCTCGAAAATGCCCAAGATGCTACCCAATAGAGCCCGCCTTGGGCTTGCTGACAGTGTCGACTGACGACAATGCCACGCTCTCAGCCACACCTCGATAATTACTTGACCTCTAGATTCTATATCCCCCTAAGATTATTCTTTAATTGTTGCTCGGAGTACCTTGCTTTTCAAATCTAATTGAGTTGTTTCAGCGACCAGATACACGTCTGAGATGGCCGAGATCGCTGGGCTTGTCTTGGGAGTAGCCGGCCTTGTGGGCGTGATAGGTGCATTTAGAGATACTGTAGACCTCTTTAATGACTTTATGAGCTCGCGAAAATTCGGCCGCTTGTCAGGCCGCTAAATCGACACATACGATATTGGGAGTGTCTAGTTTTAACTAATTCTATCAAGTGACCCCTATTTTCGAAAAAGTCGCTATAATAGCCATATTTTATTATTACCAAGTCACCTAACATCACTCAAACGAGCGATAAGCTTAAACCGGTTAAGTAAGAGTTACATTATCGAAACACTCTAATGGCATAAAATTTGAGCCAACCCGAATCGTGGAAAAATAGGACCCGATGGGATGATACCCTGGTATAGATCTTTTATATCCTGATAGCATTTTTACTAATGCTACCGCATGTTTCTTTATATGCCTGCCTTTTTAATAACCGGGCCGGCTTCTTCTATTCCACGATGAATGCGACTATAGTCATTCGATAGATAGTACCCATGTAGATAACTCACGAATCGGGAAAGTAACCCAGCGAAAGCAGAAATCTAGACTGTAGTCTATCTGCCTAATGGAACTTATAAATCTTGCCTTTTATCCAGACTCTTTAAGATATTTTTTAATGTTGTCAATCTTAAATCCTTTTTAATTACATTTAAAGCACCTATAGAATAACTACCTACCTAGCTGCGAAATGTTTTTGGCGGCCTTGCTCGTCTCGTTCTTGGCCTTTGTTGGGAATGCGTCGGCGGCAACATGGTATTTCCTCCGGTACTATCCGGCGTCCGGACAGAAGTTCACGTCGTTCTCCGGAGATATGACGATCCCGGCTCTGCCGAAAGCTGGGACGTACTACTTGTGGCCGGGACTCCAACCTACTGACAATACTGGTGTATACCAGAATGTACTTGATGGGAGAAGTGGAACGTGGTGGATCGGATCAGGAGTATGTAGAATTGATGGGACTTCATAGTTCTATTTCTTAGCTTTTATTTCGAGTTACGGCTTGCGCAATACATCTCTTGTATAAAGGAATCACTAACTCCCTTTTCACAGTGGTGTTGTTCGAACCCTGACCTTCCATGGGGAAGCGGCTTTAACACCTACGCCAACGAAAAGGTCACGTTCAGCAACAAGCTAGACAGTAGCGGCTCGACGTGGACGTCAACTCTAACCCGGCAATCTACGGGCCAAAAGGTGACGGACAGTTTCCCGTTGGGTAAGTTACAGTTCGATGGAGTTTTTAATTCAGAGGTCTTTGAATTTGAAAAGCTGACATATTTCTAGCCGATAAATCGTTTAACCAAGCATTATTTGCCATCGAGCTGTATGTCTGTCCGTTGTTTATTTAATATTTGATCATAAGAGATTGATTTATTCGCAGTACGGGTGTCAACTGGGACTTTGGTCCGCTTGCGTTTTCGAATATCGTAATTGTAAGTGATCAACTTGAGCTACCCCTATTTTTAGTTACCCCTTTCCTACCCTCCTTAACATGTCGTTTTCATTCAACACGGAGATTGCCCTGGTCTAATAGTAAACAGACAAGTACTGGTACCGACTCGAGCTGGTGCAACACAAAGCCCGAAAATTACAATGGAGCAAGCGTATACTCCATCAGCGGTCTGAGTGCAAGTGTGAGCGGCAATACGGTGACCTGTAAAATCGATTCTGTGATTCTTCAGAAACCAGCTTAGCTGAGACTTAATAATTATATAAAGGTTGAATTTAGAGGAACCTTGGAAGTCTTTCGGGTTCAAAGTCAAGGATATAGAGTATAAGATCGAGTGCCTGTATTAGAGATATTGCGGCCAATCAGATAAGAAGCTTGCAACTATAACTTCGAAGATACAGATCTAATAATTATTGAATAATTGGTAGAGGTTGAATAGGTTTACACAAGCAACTAACTACCTAGAGGTACTTAGGTAACTATAATTGACAATAGTCTTGAGTCTTTTGGCTCTTCGTTATTATCCAAGGAGAATGACAATAAGATTTCTTAGCCAAGTTAATTTTGGGTTTAACTAGTTGTTCTTATTTAAGAAACATAAAAGTTTTGAATTTTGACTTTAGAACAGGTATATACATGATACATGTATTTCGTAATTGAGATTTAATTGCTTTGCATTAGTACCTTCCAGGCGGAAGAAGTGCCGGTCGGTACTATTTGTACGGTCACGTCACTTGACTTAAAGGCAGTGCAATCCCCCCCCTCCAACGTCGGGCCTTCCTTTTCTCCAACGTTGAAACTGCCATGTGTACCCGTACTCGAATTTAATTGTTTCCCCTCTAGAATTCCATCAATCATCAAAACTTAGTCTAAACCAACTAAATTTATTTATCCAGGCTCTGTTCAATCAGATCCGGAATTCGACGTTGTCCCCCCAGCTCAATAAGACATATCTTTGTGGGTTTTGGTGATTAACGGGGCGAAAACGGGGCTCGTCTGTCTTATCGGAGCCATCGATCTGTCGTCATCGATCGTAAAATCCCCAGCACAAGCCCTCTTGCGAAGCCCAGTTTTCGCGCCCCGGATTCGACAAGCACGATTTACATTTTATTCTTTTTATCTCCTCCGGTTCTTCCACAATGTCTTGGGAACTCACCCGGCGCCGCTTTTCTCGAGCAGTCAATAGCAAATTCATATTCGACCGCATCGTACGTTAACCTATCCCGCACGATCCTATCCACCTAGATTTGTTCCGATCCCACATCAGCATCGACATAATTATTATCGTCTTCACTATCACTGCTCCATTTCCTCAGATGCTGTTGTCGTTTAGTTGATATTTTATGCTTATCACTAACTCTTCCCTCGCATCCAGCCTCTTCTTCATGCTGTTATATTCTTTATCGAGATGGTTATCGTCGCGCGCTTGGTGTCGCGTTTTAACGCCTACTACGATGAACGGCCAGGTATTAACCACGCAATCCCCACCGAATTTCCCATGTGGGATGCTAATACGTCCAAAATTAGTCCTTACAATGATGGTGACGAACGCCGTCCTTGGAGGTATTGCCGATACCGTAGCCCAGACGATCACATCCGTCCGACAACGAGCCCTGCGAAAGCCCGGCGGCGTTACAAAAGACGATACGTTAGCGATCGAGATCCACGAGCTAGATCGCAAGAACCCTTGGAACGAACGGGACCTGATTCCGGATTCTAAGATTCTCCCACCTCCCTTCGACTTCGAGCGACTAACGAGGTTCATGGCGTACGGTTTCGCCATGGCTCCTCTCCAATACAAGTGGTTTAGCTTCCTTTCACGGGCATTTCCTATTACGAAGACGAGCGCATTCGCTCCGGCGATGAAGCGGGTAGCTTTCGACCAGCTGATTTTTGCTCCATTCGGTATCGCTTGTTTCTTTACAGTCATGACAATAGCAGAAGGGGGTGGCCGTAGGGCGGTCGTTCACAAGCTCAGGGACATGTACATTCCAACTCTGAAGGCGAACTTCATGATTTGGCCTGCCGTACAGGTTATCAACTTTAGGTTAATGCCAGTTCAGTTCCAGCTAGTAAGTTTCATCCGCTACGAGTGAACACTTTACGAATCACTTTTTACTGATAATTCTCTATAGCCTTTTGTCTCTACTATCGGTATTGCTTGGACCGCTTATCTTTCACTGACAAATGCTTCTGAGGAGGTCGAGCAAAAGACGGCTCCTTACTCTCCTAACATTCGTCTCTAGTAAACCATCAGTCCTTGTAGAAAAGACTACTAGACTCTTCCTTCGCTGTATATCAAATTCGTTAAAACGATGTGTCGGCAGACGTTACGGCGTCGAAGAGCGTGGTCTTCATGGGTTAATCGATATGACTGATATAATATGGGTATTGGATGGGCGCATTCGTTTTTGGGTTAAAAATATAAGGTCAGCGGCTTGGGTATAACCTTGTACTTACCTTGAGTAGATGCAAGAAACTAGTAGTATTATCTGCATGCGTGTCTTGATCAGAGCATGTCATTGGATAATTCAAGGAAAACATCAGCTATTATCAAACTAAACTGTAATACGATAGACCATTGTCATGGCATACGTTGCTATAAGGAGATATGATCCAATAATTCGTAAGTAGAGCTGAAGAAGAAAAATAAGGCGACAATCATGGCACCACACATTGAACATTTTGCCGAAATCAACGGAGAATCGCGTCTTTAGCTTGTCAAAGGGCGGCAATCTCCTATAGACCGTTCGAAATGCCAATGTATTAAACCACTAAATTATCTAGTGTGGTTACATGCTTGATCTTAGCGTGGCTAGATGCAGCCCATAAGTATGTTGCAGCCCATAGGACGTCACCCGTAAAGCTCGTTGACCTCACCCCACCAAATTGTAAGGAAGCTGCTAACTTACCCCTCTGCTCCTCTGCTCCTCTGCCCCTCCATTGAGTAAGTATTATTATTAGTCCCGGTTCTTTCTGCTGCGGTCTTTCTAACTGCGTGCTTTTTCCCAACGGACGTCCAAGAGAGAAAAAACAACCATCGTCTGAAATACCGCAATCCTTCTTTCTAGTTATTCTCTTATTTTTCCTAAGAGTCTTATTTCGGATTAAGGATCAATTGAATATCTCCATCTGTCAAAATGTCCCTGTCAAACAAGCTATCTATCACGGATGTTGACCTAAAGGGCAAGAGGGTGCTCATCCGGGTATGTGATACTTTGTCATTAATTATAATACGCGATTTTACTTCTGAGACTAATATAATATCTCTCACAGGTCGACTTCAATGTCCCCCTTGACGCAGACAAGAAGGTCACAAACAACCAACGTATCGCCGGTGCCGTCCCCACTATCAAGTACGCAATCGACCATGGCGCAAAGGCTGTTGTCCTCATGTCCCATCTTGGCCGCCCTGACGGCAAGGTCAACCCCAAGTACAGCTTGAAGCCTGTTGTCCCAGAACTTGAGAAGCTACTAGGCAAGAGCGTTGAGTTCGCCCCGGACTGCGTCGGTCCCGAGGTTGAAGCTATCGTGAACAAGGCAGACAACGGCCAGGTCGTTCTGCTAGAAAACTTGCGATTCCACCCTGAGGAAGAGGGCTCTTACAAGGATGCGGAGGGCAAGAAGGTGAAGGCGGACAAGGCCAAGGTTGAGGAGTTCCGCAAGGGCTTAACTGCTCTCGGTGATGTCTACATCAGTAAGAACCCCTGCTCATGTCTATAATATAGGTCAATGTGATAGTAATAACCCTGATACTAACTAAATATCTTCTAGACGACGCTTTCGGAACCGCCCACCGAGCTCACTCTTCTATGGTCGGTATTGACCTCCCTCAGAAGGCCGCCGGTTTCCTCATGAAGAAGGAGCTGGACTACTTCGCACAGGCCCTTGAATCGCCGAAGCGCCCCTTCCTCGCCATTCTCGGCGGTGCCAAGGTCTCTGACAAGATCCAGCTCATCGACAACCTGCTAGACAAGGTCGACAGCATCATCATCTGCGGTGGCATGGCCTTCACCTTCAAGAAGACCCTCGAGGGCGTCAGCATCGGCAACTCCCTCTTCGACGAGGCTGGCTCCAAGAACGTCGGCAAGCTCATCGAGAAGGCCAAGAAGAACAACGTCAAGGTCGTCCTGCCCGTCGACTACGTGATTGCGGACAAGTTCGACAAGGACGCCAAGACCGGCACGGCCACCGACAAGGAGGGCATTCCTGACGGTTGGATGGGTCTCGACTGCGGTCCCGAGTCTATCAAGCTATACAAGGAGGCTATCGACTCGGCTCAGACCATTCTATGGAACGGCCCCCCTGGTGTCTTCGAGTTCGAGAAGTTCGCCAACGGCACCAAGGCTACTTTAGACGCCTTCACAGCCGCCGTGGCCGCGGGCAAGATCGGCATCATCGGCGGTGGTGACACCGCCACCGTCGCTGCCAAGTACGGCGCTGAGAGCAAGTGCTCTCACGTGTCGACCGGTGGTGGTGCTTCTCTCGAGCTCCTGGAGGGCAAGGCCTTACCCGGCGTGGTTGCTCTTAGCACCAAATGAGAATTAGGGCGGTCGGTGCGTCTGTGAGCATCGCTTAGCACGGCTTAGAAAGGGGTAACCGGTTTGGGTTGGTTAGCTAAATGCACGGGTTGCTGGTAACGGTGGATCAACCAGGCGGTGGTCCTTTTCATTGTTACTGTTATTGATAATGTTACGTATTGAGCTTATGATAAAGCCACAGGGCTAAAATTAGATGAATAACTGATAAAAGTATTAGACGTACATATTTTATACGTATTTCGCTGTTTTATCTATGATGCAATTGTTCTAGATATTGATGATAACATCGATTTTCATGTTGGCTAGTAGGCAAGGGAGAAAGAAGTCTCGATACGTAAAGGCAAGGAAGTCTCTATTCGGCAGCTCTACGTCTGCTGGTCTATTAATCAAAGCCTTGCTCATTTGCTCTACGCCTAGCGAAATAATGCGGAGCGTTGGAGAATAGATACAATGCAGTTCGGTTTTCTAGTCATGGCCTGATCCTTATGCTACTAGCCCTGCTTGCTTGCTTGCTTAATTGTCGTGCTGGAAAACGCCTAATCCGTAAATACGGTCTTATCTTCGCTTCGAGGCTTCGACTTTCTTGAGTTCCTCTCTGTTTGTACTTACGTCAGTATTGGGAGGCATAAAGATAGGGGAAATATGGAAAACGAAACGGCATAGTTCGGTTATATGCTAGGCTAACTTGAGAATAGTCAAAAGCCTTGATAATGCCGATTTCGACGGCCGAAGGTGCTAAGTATATAGACGAGACATAAACGTACCTTAGTTGCGCGGAAAAGTCGTCGGAGGTGTCGTCGTCGTCCCAGCTCTCCTCCCACAAGTGTTGCGTCGTAGTACCGTTGCCTCCCGTCACTGCTGTCGCTGCTGCTTCGGTCTCTTCTGCCGGCCAGTCTGTTTCTGATGGTGTTAGTTGTTGATTGTCTAAGGCAGATAGCTATCCAGCTAACTTGATTATGAATATTGCGGGATGAGAAAGAAGGCCGTATAATGTAGATAGAGGCGGTACGTGTATGATCATTACAAGAGAGCTAAGGGTAAGGGATAGAGAAATAACGCACCTTCTACGGGGAAGTCCTCAAACTCGTCGTCCTCTTCTAGCGCAGTAGCCGGCTTCTGCTGTGCCTGGGGCTGCTCCTTGGAGGCTTCGGTAGCAGGCTTGTCGCCGGACTTGTTTGAGGGTGCGGCCATGACTTATGATATGAATATGTAGGTACGTTTGATGTAGATTGGACGATGCTTAATATTATCGAGGGGGCGGTAAATGCGTTTCTTGTCGATATCGACGGGGTTCTGTCTTACTGGTGGCGAGGCTGAATGTGGAACAAGTAAGAGAGACGAGGCTTCGGTTTGTTGAGGTGATGGATGATGAATGTTTATCAATCAATCAACCTTGCCCTGTTATCTTAGGTAATGAGATATATCATTTATCTGGATAAGCGCGTTTGTTGCATAATAACATATATGATGCATTAGGTCTGGTATGCAATGACTACCTACTCGGCAGGCGGATAAGGTTGCCTCGAAAACGGAAAATACTCACGGGTAAGCCAAACTTTATCTCCGGACAACCAATCATTTCACTTTCCGGGTAGTTGGGCTGAGCGGGGCTGTGGTAGTACAGGTATACATATGCACATAGCCACGTAGTGCGCGGCTACTGTGGTAAAGCTCCGCCTGTCAATTTGAAAGTGACAAAGTAGCAGCTTAAGATGTGTATTATTGATTTTCTGCAACATTGCTTTCTTCGTTGTGTCGTCACCTAACTGGGATATATTCAACTCGTGCGCTCAGCCTCCATCTGCTGCAGCATTCCTGCCGTGTTTAATTTCCGCTAGGGCCCGAATACAATCCCGTAGTCAGCTTACTCTCCTGAATCACATTTCTAATTTTGAGAAATGATATATTATACAGCGGCGTTACTACTATCAATATACTGTTGTTTTCTTTTATATTATCGACAAACACATTTATATCCACTAGGCAATCATTATATCACTAAACTAAAAAGTCTTAATCTAGCCTAGTCTCGACAGAAAACTCACTTCCTCCCAATTGCTTTTTTATTACAGTGTCATTAAAAACGTCATCAAAAATCCTTATCTACATACCTACCTCCTAAGGTACGGAATACATTGACTCGTACTGGAGCCTCAAAAGGTGGACTTCGGTGAATACGTCTTTCAGCTCCGAGACCTGAGTCAATTGGGTGCATGCGTTAGGTACTTGCATGCATTCGCTGCTTATTCCAGCTCTTTACATAAGCTTTTCGAGCTTTCTTTTAACAGGAGCTACAATATTTAATCCTTTGTTTTGCATACCGGTACCTACTCTCAGCCCTAAACCTGACATGTTTTAACGGCTGCACTACGATTTTTGGATATTACCTAGAGACTAACCGACTGACGCTAACGGATACCACGGAGCTACTATTATCTTAAGATAAAACATAGTTTTGTCCACGATTCTCTCGGCAGTCAAGACGGAGTATCGCTTTGGCCTCGTAGCTAATCCGGTTCGTCACTATGAGTCGGATAGGGGCCTGGCTTCGGGGTTCTGCTCCCGCCCCGAGCCAAACTTCAAGCCCTGCAGCCTCGCAAACAGATCTTCGGGCTCGGGAGACAGCCTCCCTCGTGGATGCGTTAATTGCCACCTCTTTGATTATGAACGATGACATCGACGGTGCCGAAGAGAGGTTACGAAAGGGCGACTCGGCCTTCCACCTCCTTGGAATGGGAATCTGCACTTTCATGAGGAGTATCCTTGGATTCGAAAAGTCAATCATGGCTGAAACTCTTAGTCGTCTTAACGATTGCGAGACACGTTCATTGAGTGAGATGAAAAAAGCTCAGAAGGAGGCCGAGGCCGCCGGTAAAGCCGAAGACAGGATATACCCCCCAGGAAGCGAGTACGCCTTGGTCATAGCTTATGCAAACCTGATGTCCGCCGTCGTCGCCGTTATGAATGAGAGTTTGACAGAAGGCCTAAAGGGGTTCTATAAGCTGCGGAAGGCTTTTATTACACTCGACGGGCTCGTGCAAGCGGAGACGGCGTATCTGAAAAGAAAGGGGCTTCACTCAGATTCATCTAGCGACGGTACTGACACGGATCTCGAATTTGTGGATGCGGATGAAGCACATTCGGGAACACAAACTCCTTTGGATTATGGTGGTCATCTTACTACGGGCCCTGATGCGGCCGAAAAGGAACTAAGTAAATTGTCTTTAAATTCTAACGATACTTCTAAGTTACCATCTACTAAAGGTAGTTCGGAGGTATTCACCACCCCGGCCGACATTTTTATTCATAGCGGTGCCAACATGGCGTATGGAGTCCTGTTAACTCTCCTTACCATGGTTCCGCCTGCGTTTTCTCGCCTACTATCTATTATCGGCTTTAGGGGGGATCGTGAACGAGGCTTACAATTGCTGTGGCAGAGTTCTGGGTTCAACAATGTCAACGGAGCTGTAGCAAGTCTCATGTTGCTCTCTTATTATCATGGTCTTCTAAGCGCTGCCGATATCCTCCCCTTCGATAACGACAGCGAAAAGAGTACTACTGTAGGTTACCCAAAAGCCAAGTGCATTGCATTGCTCGCCCAGATGCGCTCGAGATACCCGGATAGCGGCCTCTGGCGCTTTGAGGAAGGTCGAGTACAGGCAAATAGCAAGGACTTGCGAGGTGCTCTCGAGATTTTAAAGAGCAATACGGAGTCAAAAATGCGCCAGGTCACAGCTATCAACAATTTTGAGATGTCTATGAATTCCATGTTTATTCACGATTATCCCGACATGCGCGACAATTTCCTCCGCTGCATCGAGCTCAACGACTGGAGTCCTACTTTATACTACTACATTGCCGGATGCGCGGAACTAGAGAACTACCGAAATGCATTCCACAGTAAAGCGGAGGAGTCACAAATCCAGTTACATAAGAAGAAGGCAGACGAGCTCTTCAGAAAGGGGCCTACGTTAGCCGGTAAGAAGCGCTTCTTAGCTAAGCCGATGCCGTTTGAGCTGTTCGTGGTTCGAAAAATGCAGAAGTGGGAAGAGAGATCCAAAGCGCTAGGAATAGATCTGGTAGATGCTATTGGTCCCAGCCCATCGGAAGAGATGACGTACCTTTGGAACGGAATGAAAAAGATGCAGCCCTCGGAGCTGGAATTTTCGAACAAGGTTCTGTCCTGGGATAGGTTAACAGCACCAAAGGAGGCGCGGAAGAAGATAGAGGCAGAATTAGACGAAGAAGCCGTGCGAAACGTCTGTCGAGCTGCCGTGGCACGATCACTGGGTAATATTGACGAGGCACGCGAATTGCTCGACAGCGTTTTAGCTATAGACAGGTGAGTTCTGAGTCTCTTACATCAAAATCTAACTAACACACCGCGATAGACTGGCATTTAGAGGCCCTACGAAAGACGATTACGCGTTGCCGGCAGCAAACTACGAGATGGCAGTACTTGCATGGATTGAGATACAAAGACCTGAAGTGCGAAGGGGTGACGACAAAGGGGACGAGGAGGAGTGGCTACGGGAGAAAACGGAGGAATGCCAGGCTTGGCTCGACAAGGTAGCTAACTGGGGAGCGTTTACTCTGGACGCCCGGATCGGCATGCGTGTCCAGACTGGTATGGATACTGTGAGCTGGTACAAGAAGCAGTATGGGTGGGCAAGCGCTTGATTTTCGGCGTGGTATAAGAAACTGCATATGGCAGCCTGACCACATGCCTTCAGATGGAATCTTGTGGATAGATTTGTCGACCTTAGATGCAGGTCGCCTTCACGGAGAAAAGGTTAGTTAGACAGTATCGGGGCATGAGCAAGATGTCTTTTTCCCCTCAAGGGAAGCTAGGTAGAGGCGGTCAGGATACTGGCGTTTTGGTCATTGTCCACTATGGGAAGATGCATTTATGGTGGCAACTTGCATGTTTCGTACATATATTGGCTTTATATTATGTGACGCGTGAGCAAACAGAGACGCAGATGTAGTCGTGGCCGTGTTTCCAAAAACTTCTAGATTCAACATGCTTCCCTAGGTGAATGTTCCTATTCTATAAATCTGTCTCCTCCCTACTGAATTCATTTCGCACTCAACTCAGTTCAGCATCATCACCTTCTAATTCCACTCTCCCTCTATATATATATATCATCATCCTCCACAAAATCACCCAAACCAACATCCACCTGGTCTCTATTACCCTCCACAACTTCAGCACCAACATCTGCCTCCACCTCACCGCCGTCATTGCTAAAGACACGGACGCTATTGAAGTTTATAGGCTTCACCTCCTCTAATCGCTCAGGTAGTTGAAGTAGGGATGATACTTCTTCTATATCAAGTTCTTTCATGGGCCTTCTAAATACTTTTACCGCCCTGTTCCCGCTGTCAGCCGACTATACGTTTAAGAGGGTGACTTAAGGAGCAATGTCTTTTCCTTCGACTAGTTACCATGGGAACAACGAAGTTGTTTCCATGCTGTTTCGTTCCACCTCGTGACACAGTCGGTGCCGCGATCAACAAAAAGAATAGACACATATGGATCCATTACTTCTACTCGAGACAAGAAATCGAAGTAGAACACCTACGGCTGAAGTATGCACAAGGAAGTGAGAACCCTGCAGATGTATTTACAAAAGTTATGATTGAGACGGACCACCATCTCCCCCACCATACTGGTAGCAGCTCGGAATTTTATGTAGTGCTATCCGTCGGGGGGATGACTATGTTGTTCTTAAGGTTTTATTGGCGTTATCAAGTGGTTTTTGGCGCGAATGTATTTAAAACGATATAGTGTAGTTAGTTAGGTATTAGTGAAGAGGCTGAGACGTTGTCCAAAGTCTTAGGGTTTGTGAAGATAGAATATCGAATAATATATGGGGAGGGAAACTGGGTCTAAAACCCTCCCTCTTGGTATGCAGCAATATGACTCCAGACAGGCTGTGATGGATCTTAATTGCGCCGACCGCAAGGAACTCTAGACTAGCTACGAGGGTCTTACGTCTATACATACTGAACCTGTCCTTTGTTCTAGATGTCTCATCTAGAATCCTGACAGACTGTTCAAGTTGATACTGGGTATTACCGCCGCCGCCGGAAGTAACGTCTGTCAACTCCACCATTGCTACCTCATAAAATAATAGGTCTACATCTCTTATAAAGGTGCTCTGACGAGCAATTCACGCGGGCACGCGGGTTGTACTAAGCAGATGGTTTTGGTAGGCCATTGAGCCAGCATTCTAAGCAAATAAGTCCCGAATAGGGCCTCACTGGACATGTATGGAGTTGTGTGTCACGGCCTAAACAGTAACAATTTAATTCATTTTATTTACAATTAGTAATGATACAGGGTCATTAATGTACATACTTAAGACCTAAGGAAACTGCCCAGCGACCGCTCAAGAACGACGCCGCTAGCACCGACCGCAGCGACGGCCCATAGCCACTTGTTACCGAACTCAGCCAGACTAGGCCAGAAGCTATTCTTGGTCTTCTTGTATTGCTGTAGTTGCTTGTATTTAGCGGGGTTTTCCTTAGCGTAGCGCTTCTCCTGGTTCTCCTCGTTTTCTTTGTCTCCTCCGATGAAACGCAGGAAGATGTAGTTAGTAATGGGGCCAAGGAGTGTTAGGGGGTGCAGTTGTCCAGCACTGAAGAGAAGAAGAGGGAAGGAAAGGTGTGCCAGAGCGTCACCGAGATAGCTACTAACAGTTAGTATTTTATCATGGTTTTTGACAGGGTGAAGGAGGAACTTACTTAGGGTGTCGGACAATGCTAAATACGCCTTCGCGGTTAAGTTCAGCACTCTCCTTGCCTTCGTGAGACGCAAGTTGAGTGTCAGCTAAGACTTCCAGAGCGTATCCTGCGGCGAACAGGAAGATAGCAAGGCTGCGGGATACGGACGACACTTCAGGGTAAGGGGAAGCAAGGGCAGTGGCAATCGGAGCGCGGAAGGGTAATGTGAATGGCAGGGAGATCAGGGTCTGGATGAGAGCCTCAGGTAGGAACATGGTAAAAAAAGCCTTGTTCCAGAATCCCGGCTGTTTCCTAGCCGCCGTCCGGTATCGAGGATCATCTTTACCACGTCGTATGGTGCGCGAAGCAACGCGGTAGAAGACACGTAGACCCCAGGCGCTAACACCTCCTAAGAGAAGCTTCTGGTCATACGACAATGCAGACCAGGCAGCAGAGAGGGACAATCCTTCATGGACCACGGGAATTCCAATAGCACTCCACCAAGCATTTGCTACTTGTGCACTCGGCCACAGCCAGTCCTTAGCTTCGACTGTGTCGGTATAGCGTCCTAACCCGTACGCGATGAGACTGAGGCCGCTGTTTAAACCGAAAGATGGCAGCACTGCGTGTTGCAGAAGTCCAAGCGTGGATGTTGTGCCGCCAAACCTGATTCTGGCAGCAGGAGTAGGTTTAAAATGGGCTCCGTAGCGATCCTGCTCAGCACCGGAACTCGACGGTAAGCTCTCGTTCAGCTCTTTGGCCGGAGTGGCCTCATGCCTACCGAACCAACGTTCGTATCTGTCTTGTTCGGCTCCAGATTCATGAGGTAATATCTTTTCGATATCTGCTCTAGTGGGAAGTTTGAGTCCACCAAACCAGTGCTCATATCTATCTTGCTCGGCACCCGAAGTCTGGGGGAGTCTCTTCTCGATATCAGCTCTAGAAGGGAGCTTATCTCCACCAAACCAACGTCCATATCGATCTTGCTCGGCACCAGATGTTTCTGAGAATTTATCTCTAACTTGATCAGCAGAGGGGGGCTTGTCCGCGCCGGAATCCTTAGATATATCTCTCGATACCGCGTCCTTTACGCCGTCCTTTACACGGTCTACTTTATCACCTCCGAACCAGCCACCAAACCAGCCGCCGTAGCGGTCCTGTTCCGCCATTGTTGTCGGGGTAATATAGGCGAGAATATCTAAATAGTATGATGATAGCTAGTAAGGAATCATGTTAGGAAATCAAATGAGACGAGGGACATTGGCGAATTTGTAGCAACACGGGAATGTCTGAGGAGACGATGACGTAGTGTTACTTGGACATGACGTAGTAGAATATGCATCTAGGCAGCGCATGTGGTAGGAGATGGTAAATGTAAATAAACTATTTGGAGAAGCATAAAATTTAAGTTTATGATAATATCGAACGAGAATTTGTAATGGGAAGTGTTTTGGTTAAGGGGGCGTACGGACAACTCGCAAATGTGCCTAACACTTATGCAAACGCCAATTCTCTCACTCATTAATACGAAATATAAAGTCTAACCCGCTGGTAACCGAAATTTACTCTGCCTTACCCATAAAGACAAATATAAATACCTATACATAATAGTTATCATGCAATGATGAGTCCTTATCTACATTCATAAAAGCACCAAGTTCAGAGAATGATATTACTAGATATATCAGAAAAGGGGTACTGCAGCCATTAACCAACTCCTTAAGCTAAGACCATTATAAACCTCAGTCTATGAGTTAGCTCACTCTCAATTTAATCTCGTCCCAAAAATCAAATGTCACTTGCCCTACGATTTCGAAATAATAGTTATTTTCAATAACAGCGCTATCCTTTTATTCTCTCTCTCTCTCTAGCTAACTCAGGGGAACAATCTGACACGAAGGGAGGTAGATATATACATTTGTAGAATATATACGGCTGTGAAAGCCTTGCGCCTCCTAACCAGTTGCTTAGACGGAGACGGTAGAGCCGATGGGTCCGAAGCGGATGTTGGACCAGACGACCTTGCTGCGGAATTGTTAGTAATGGATAAGTAGATTTCCGAGGGGAGAATGGTACGTACGCGTCGGGGATGCTGGCCTCGACGTCGGAGGGGACACCGGAGTCGGGGGCACAGTCACCACGGTCACCGCCGGGCGTGCCAGCCTTCTCAGGGGGGTAGCTAGAGTCGAGCCAAAGCATGTTGGCGTAGTGCTAGAGCGGAGACGATCAGTTAAGATTCTTTTCGTTGCGAAAAAAGGGGGGTTGCGTTGCGAAAACTTACGTCGTCCCAGATGGACATGACAAGAACCATGGGTACGTCAAGAGCGTTGTTGAGCTGGTCGAAGCCGCCAACCTCCTTGAAGCGGTCACGGTCACCGAAAACGCCAAACTCGGCAGTGCAGTACTCGGGGGTGATGTTGCTTTCGGTGGGGAAACCGTCGATCTTGGGGCCGGGGATCTCAATCTTCTTGCCGTTCTGGACGAAGAACTGAGTCAACTTGTTCTCGGCGAACTGAGTAACAACGCTAGGGGGATAAGGTTAGTTTATCATCGTCGTCAAGATACCTAGGTGATAGGCTAAAGAGTAGACTTACGTGAACTTCTTGCTGGTGTCGACGGTCTTGCCCTGGCCGTAGAAGTCGGTGTTGCCCATGCGGTAAGGGTTGTAGTCGCAACCGTTGGCGTCACACTTGCCAGCGAATCGGTCCTCAGAGTAGGTACCACCGCACTGGTCCTTCTCGCAGACGTGGTATTCGTTGGTGGTGCAAGGGTGAGGGGTGAAAGCGAAAGAGTGAGAGTTGGACTCCCTGTTAGACATGGTTAGTTACGTTTTTCTTCTATGGTAGATATTCTCGTATGGCTCTTACCAGACATCGATTTCGGCACAGCAGGCACCGTAAGGGCCAACACCGGCGTTGTTGTCGTTGGTGGATGGCTCCCATCCCTCAACGTTGGCCTTGCCACCGACGAACTTCAAGTCACGGGCGCACTGAGCGTCACAGTAACCGGTACCGTACTTGGCGCCGGCCTTGTTGTTGGGGTAGCTGGCCTTGCCACCGTCCTCCTCCATGGCGACGAAGTAAAGAGCGGCGTTGAGACCACAGTCGACGGTGGACAGGTCGACATCGAAGGCGAACTCGTTGCCCTTGAGGTCGAAGGTCTGGTACTTGTCGGCACCGTTCATGAGGTAGAATCGGGATCCGATGTTGGTTCCGTACTCGTGCTTGGTCAGGAACTTGAGGGTGAGAGCATCGCCGCTGGTGGAGGCACCGTAGGTCTTGCTGTATTCGGCACCCTCGATGGCGCACTTGGTGGCGCAGTCATCGGCAGTGCTGCACTGCGTGGTCCACTTGTTACCGTCATAGCAGTTCTGAGTGCCTTCGAGAGTGTGAAGCCATCGCCAGTTGGAGTCGATGGTCACCTCAGCGTTGGTCTGGGTGCAGGAACCACCGCTGGTGCACTTCTTCCAAGACAACTTAGGGTGAGTCTCGGTCTGCTGCGTTCCGACCTGCTGGGCAGACGCGAGCCCGAGAAGGGCGGCCGACACGGCGAGGGACAACATGATGCTGGTTTATCTTCAAGGCAAAGAAGTTGTAAACCTGGAGGGATGGTGAAGCTAAGGATGAGTTGAGGTGGCATCTGGGACTAAGTCGATTATATAGTCGATGGAGAGCATATCTTGCCCAGCAATAAACTTCTTCTCGACTCCATATTGCCGGCAACGGGCTCCGTCTCGACATGGCCAAATCGTGGTATAGCATAGTCGATCACTAACCATCTCGGCCCTATGCCTATTCCCTATTAGATTAAAATGTCAATTATGCTAGCAAGGCTCCGGCGGGTGTTCCGACAACGCAAGTTATGGTTGGTCCCAGCAGGAGACCGTGGCCTACAACTACATACTTTCGTTCTGGATCATTGGGGGCGACAATACTAAACGGGAGAGCCCTACGCCCATAAAAATGACCAGTCGTTGTCCAAAACGGTTATCGTGTGTAGGATGGACCAATAGGAGGAATCGGCTTGATGGGCGTGACGATCAACATAATGAACCAAGGCGAGAATCATCGGCCTGAGGAACTCTGGGAATACAACTTCCGACGCAATTTAGATTGGATGGTTATAAGTTTCAGGATCATGGCCCGAAGTAACCTGGGGTATTTGCGGGGAATGGGGATTATCAGGGGTGGCAACATGTATACCTATGCCTCAGCGATGGCACTGCGGCCCGGTATGTCCACATCACGGAGACCAAGCCGCCGCCGTGGAAGAGAAACAAGATAACAAAGCGGGGCCTCTAGGAAAGAAAATCCAGACGAGAACGGAGGACTACGACGCCTCCGGAGTCTTTAGCGAGCCTAAGAAACGGCGATGACCCAAAGCCAAAGCCGCGTTTCGTCCCGCTAAACCTCCGAGTTCTACGGTATAGTCCGGATGCCGCAAGTCTGAAGCAATAGTATACATAGAACGCTGACGCGAAGAAAACCACGAAAAGGGCATCCAAAATTTGAGAGTCCCTTTAGCCATTGCCAGCGTACCGCACCAGGGCAGGGGGGATCTCTGCAAGATCTGGTGTAACACGATGGCACGATAGTATTGGACGAAGAACTTGTTGTGGGAAGCGATCGACAGTAGGAAATGCCGTTCACGTCTATGATGCCGAGACTACTACATAGGGTTGTGGAAAATATCCACGGCATATTATCCAAGGGTGTAACGGACGCCAAGTCTGGCAAGCTCCGTGGAGAGACCCCAGCCCATCACATTCTCTGCCATCCAATATATTTAGCCAATTGATGCCGGGTCCCCCCTGGAATAAAACTCATGCAGGTCCTCGCGTGGTGTGGTTCGTTCAAGCTTCGTTCCACCAAGTCATCAGGTCGCCAAGATCGGTCTAATTCTGAGCCGAATCTTTCTATTTCTAGCTCCCTCGCGGTAACGGCACGGCGGTGGGATGGGAACACTATACTCCAAAGAATCATGTTTAAGTCTCTTGGCTTATGCGTAATATGTAGTTTATAGCAGCTACCTTAGTCTTAGAGTCTGTCATATTTGCATGAAGAAATGAGTTTAGGCATCCAAGAACCCAACGTAGGATTTTCAAGGCCAGCAACGGATTCGATGGGACGATACATCAACCTATCAACTCTCAGATCTTAGATGAGCCCATATCTCCTGTCCGGCGCGGTGGGATAATTTAGTTCTCATGCGACCGCCTCCTGTTTGTCTAGAGAGGGCTTAATGAGCCAGTGGCAATTGGAGATTAAGGGCCCGTCGCCACTCGATGTTACTACTCGTATATATTATAAGCGCCACATAGCCGCGGCCTTATTAGTTGCAATATCGGAACGAGCTAATTTGTCTTTGACGTGTTGGGCAGTTTTGGTTCCGCCGAGCAGCTACATATATAGACGTATGTTCATCGGCGGCTCATAGATTCGGTTAAGAGATCAACCCGGATGATCGACCAGTTTGTTACTGACATCGCTATTTGTAATGTTCGACCCAGAACCGCGTAGAAACGCTCAATAACGAAGCCCGGTCTCTGAGAAGTTTCTCTTGGTAGACAAACCCAGATTACCGAGATTTAAACGTGAGTAACTGCATATATATACTATTCAGTATGCCCCTGTTAGCTATTGCTACTTCGCGTACAATCCCTGCAGATCATCGGGTATTAGGTATCAGCTATATTTCGGTTGTATTTCTTCGTAATAGAATAGGTCTCGCAGTTCTAGTACGGCCTATCAAACTTGTAACTTGACAGAGGGGTTGAATCCACTTAGTAAAAGCCTGAGGACTATTCAAGTCGATACATCTATAATTATTATATTACTTCACGTCGTAGATTAAGGGCCTAGGAGCCCATTTCTAATAACGAGTATAAAGAGGCTACTATTATAAAGGGGACTATTGATACGATATCAAGGTTATCCACGTCAAGTAAATTCTAGCAAACAGGTAGACTAATAGAATAGAAACATCTAAGTGATACGAAAGATGAGGCAAGGGAGAGTGTAGTTAAAAATGTACCTAATCCATAGCAGTTCTAAAGGCTTATCCGAGCCAACCAACAACTTACGCAACCTAGCTCGCAGATGTTATCATCCATTGAGTCATATTGTAAGGCTATTACGTGGCGACCCAGGCATAAGTATACATTATGCCACCGCCACCCCTCGAATATTCCCGATCTGATATCTTCCAAGCTTCATAAATCACCTTAGCCCGTGAAATAAAATCTCAAATAGGCGGCTCCGACACGGAATCAATGCTCGGGGACTTCTGTAGATATCGCAAGGCTACCATACGAAAACTGATCACCAATGGTAGCGTCATTTATAACGTCACCCACCGGACTCCATCGTCACCGAATATAACCCCGCGGTTCGAATTCAGGCCTAGCCGTTGATCAAGAGGGCAAACGAACTTTCGAAATATATCCGTTTAGTTCGATCTACCGCCCAGGTCTAGGCAGTCAATCGCTGCCAATTAATGAGACTCGGTTTAATCATTCAGCGGCGGCGCCTCGACCGAATCGATTCATCGCCAGCCTCCCTATCTAAATAACTGACAGAAGGGGATATATGTTACATTACGCATTTTGCGGCAGAGTTTCGATGGCCGAGACAGTGGCAGCAACTGGTTAATTCCGCAAGAGGAGGCTTCACGATGCCTAGCACAGGCGATACGTACGAATCTACATTCGGAAATTGGCAAAGCAAGCTCGGATGTAGAAATCACTTGTAACATGTCAAGATTTAGTCGTCGTCAACTGTCACAAAACAACTCGGCCATCTCCCTCGATCTCAGCCATAAACTTCGTCAATTAAAACGATACTAATATCAAAGAACTCGGCCACGATCATATACATATTCGCGACTAGAAGTATAGGTAGGCATTACAATAACGAAGACCGATCCTTATGCAAACAGAGCAGGATTAAAACAGACGAATACAATTAGACAATAAACCCAGTCCAAACCAGAAATACGAAATAAGGGGTATCCTCAACACGTTTATGCAACCGCTAATAGCTAGTTGCCATGATAGAATCCATCGACACCGTCTTGAAACGCTTTGCGACCGGCTTCATATCTCACATCTCACATCTCACATTAAGTCGTCATCAACCGCCGTACCCTCCCACCTCCTCGTCTGCAGCTTTCGCACCTTCTTCGTGGGACTCCCGCTGCTCGACACTTTGAGGGCTTTCTTAACCTCGCCGCTGTTTACTCTTAACTGCTCCATGCGGTTACCGAGGTCGCCCAGCGTATCCGCCCCAGAAGATGAGGCCCTGGCGCTGGGCACATCACCCCTCTCCCGAAGCGGAGAGCGTTTGCTTGGCGTGCGCCCGGATAGTTCGCGCTTCAGGATCGCGACCTCTCTTCGCAAACGCTCGTTCTCTTGCTCCAGATCTTCGATCAAGATGTTCTCCTTATCTTCGTCTTCAACATTATCTTCTTCAGAGCTTGGCATAGTGACCGTGACGCCCACGCTGCGAGCTAACACCTCCACCTTGCGATCCCAGTGCTCCTCGCCGCGCTCTTGCTCTAGCGACAACGTCGCCTTCCATCGTCCCATCTCTAGAGCGAGCCGCTGCTCAAAATCTGCGTAGCACTCCTCTCGGATCTCCTGTTCCAAGTCCGCGAGACGGTCTTCCATGGATAACAAGTGAGCCTCGGCTGCCATGCGTCTTTCCGTTTCTTGTACTAGTTCGGAATTCAGCTGTTCTATCATATCGGCCATTCTGGCAATCTCTAAGGCCGCGTTCTCCATTGTTGCCCTCTCCGTGTCGGGTACGGGTGAGAACATCCGGCTATGGTTGCCAGAAGGATGGAAATACGGTCGATGGTGAGCTAGAACAGGCGAGCTCGTATCACTACGAGACCCGACACTCGATTCCGACCGCTGAGAGTGCGCTGAGCTGTTCGCATTGGCAAGTATTGTAGATGAGATAGAAGGAACGCGTGGCACGGTAACCTCACGGGCTAGAGCGCTATACCTAAGAATTTGTGACGTCGCGTTAAAATCTCCTAGAGGATCGGCTGTAACAATCATTACACCCTTCTGTGGTGCACGCCTCCCGTTTGTGGAGCTTGAGGGCGAGCCCGAAGGAAACGAGTTGGCAAAGAGCAACTCTGTAAGTTTGCATTGACGGAATGGGACTAGATTAGGCTGTTCATCGTCAGCGAAGTTCCTAAATACTGTGAGCAAAGGATGCAACATACCTTCGTCGTGCTGCTAGCGTCGCTCTGCATTTGTAGACACTGACCAAGATACATCAGGCTTTCATTGATCTTGCCCGCCTCTGCCAAAGTCGCGCCTTGTGTTTTCGCATCTCTTGCTCGTTCACTACCAGCTAGGTCAACGATACTTAGTGTGCTATTACCCCAGCGTGCGTTGTGGCGGCCACGACGTCTTTTCTTAACTTCGATACAGAAGAACCCATGGCTTCTCGACGACACGCTATTACTGCCCGTGCCAGCTACTCGCCGCTCGTGGAGCCCGGCCTCGAGAACCATTAGCGCCTCTTTGAGATTGCCGCAGATGACTTTTCGAAGCCCCGCCACAACCTTTCGATCGGGAGATAGCTCTGTAAACTTGAAAAGCAGCGGCCGTCGTCGGGGCTCTTTGTTACTATTTGACCTGATCGGAGGAGTTAAAAGGTCAAAGATTCGGTCGTTGTATACTTCGTACATCGAGACAACGATAGCATAGTCGGCGGACGGATCGCAGGATGCTCTAACGGAGCTAATATCTGGTGCTTGAGGGAAAGCAGACGGTCGTTGTAGGTTCTTTCTCGGCGTCAGTGGCGCGTGGTCGCCCTTCATTAGACATTTAGTAACATTCTTCTTATTTCTTGCGGCAGATGTGAGAGACATGTAATGCTTTTGGGGTGACGGGGAGCAAGCCAACTTTGGCTTAAGCTTAAGAGACGCAACTTGCGTCAGGGTTGGAGCCGCCATCTCCCCCTTTTCACTAGGCGGTGTTGAGAGAAGTATTATTCTCGACAGATCATCATCGTGACTAACGAGCCGTATACTTTGAGGGCTGCTTGGAAAACAACCAGGCGGTAGGGGTGTGGTGATACGTGTAGGTGGTTGAGTAGGAATACTAGGGGGTCCTACAATCATTGGAGTCGTAGCTCTTGATCCACCGCGTGAGCTGCTGAAATCAGTATACATGGTGTCGATAAATACCGATGCAGGGCAAATAGCTGCCTCGGACGCGTCGGAGGATCGTATACTTGTCTCCAACATAGGAGAAGTCTCGCAGTCAACGATGTTCGATTCGATTGATCGGAATACGACGTCGAGAGCAAGCTGGGTTAAGCCTCGCTGGCTCCGCGATCCAAGCATCGTGTGCGTCTGATGGGCTTGCTGTTAGTTGCCAATATCTCCCGTCATACTATATGCTGCGGCTAGACATACCTTGCCTGAACCAGTAACCCCTAGGGTCGCTAGCAGACCATCTGTGCCGTCACCTCCATGAGGGGCTAATACGCCTTCGACCAAAGGAAGCACTCTAGTGCCCTGGAATAGGTCAAGTTGTGTGGCATCCTCTTCAAAAACCTGCGTAAATGCGAATTTCTCTATAGCGCGTCTTCGGTCGTTCGGTGGGTTCAAGGTGATATGTGTGGGGGTATCGTGTTCTACAGGGTCTTCGACTAAAAGGAACCGTTCAGCACCCGAATTCCCAGCTTGAGGAGGCCGTAGTCTCAAGTACACCTGGAATAGGTTCGCGTGCCCTTTTTGAGATGGCTCCATGACGATGGGATGGAACTACGGTTACGCGATGTAAAGTTATTGAAAGCGGTGAGAAAAAGGCTGATAGAAAGCAAATGCAATTACATGCAGCACGAATGCACAATTAGACTAGAGACTTTTAGACTGTTGTATAATGCAAGAAATTCTCCGTCCGGCATATGTAGATGCAACCTTTAGAGTAGAAATGGTTGGATACTTGAAGCATTAGCGTTGAAAAGCATATGCAGATACGAAATACCTAAAATACTAATATTGGTATGATGGAAGTCGCGACCTCTTACAGGATGAATAGGTAATTACCTAAAGTCAATATTTACTTCGGATCATATTTGTTTCGCTAGGCAACCAATGCAGGTGCTTTCATTGGACCTTCCATGGATGGTTAAAGGTTAGGTACCTACGTATTTGTTTCAAGCCACAATTAACCCCATATTTGAGGCTAGTACATATTTGAGGCTAGTATTGCGGCTACTGGAGTACCCCACCAATAGATTTCTCCAACATAAATTCCCGTCTCCTCTCCAATTCTTCCAATTCTTTTTTTCTTTCCTCTTCAGCTCTCTTTGCCTTTTGGCTTAGATCAAGTGTAGTATCTGTTCTTTTCAGTTTAATCTCTGAAAGAGTTCTACTTGAACTCAATCGTGATTATTCTAATTTTTGTTACGAGGGAGCGCATCCTCTGGGCTTGCCCATGATCGCTCTTACTGTGTCCCTGGTATCACACTGCCTCCAGGTGACGCGAATACGCTTTTCATTGCAATTCCTAGCTTGCCTAGAGGTGCGAAGAATGGTGATTCCTATTTCCGTACTAGTTTAATCATAACCCGGTTTGCTCTCCCAATTAAAGGGACTATGATAGCTCCTCGCATTTTCATGTGGTTCGAAGGATTCTACGCGTTGGCGATTCTGACATGTACGCATCGGATTTCTCCCATGAAAACATACCCTTTGAGTAACATCGGCCACGTATTTGGATTGCTCCATGTTTGGATAATTCTAGATTTCATAGGACGACAAGAGCTTCCTATTAAACTAAATTGTGCATCAAACCAATGAGAAAAGAGCCCGAGTCATGTGAGTCAATATAATATATTAGCTCTTCTGCATACCTACGTATAGCCAACGAGGCTCGCGAGTCTATTTCAGGGTACTTTACATTCATAGTAGGTAGGTAGCTCAAGGAATTAGGGGTTTGCAAGTTTATGACATGCATGTCTCGCAATGATCTGTTATTATTTCTCCTATTTCCCCTAACCGCTCTCATTCAATGATACACAGTATACTTTACATTCCTAGGTACCTTACTTTACATACTTACTTTACATAGTATGCAGTGTAGCGTAACAAGCTAGACTAATATCAATAAAAGATGTTCGAAAAACGATCGATCTCGATTTCATGCGAAATGCACGTCACCGTTGATGGAATCTACCCTGGCAGAGAGATGGGGAGAGCTTGAGTATGGAATGGGATGTTGATGCTGGTTCGGACGAAACGAATTCGGTAAGTACGGAGAAAGAATCGACATATCTCAAAGAGAAGATCTACTGTGCATATAACTTTAGAGATCACCATTGAATTTTTTGGTTGGAGGGGTTTAGACTGTAGAGTGAGGATCGTATAGGTACATACCTTAGGTACCTTAGATACTTGGCTCATCTATCTCCACCTAGTGTATTATGTAGGTATGCATCCTTGCTCTTCTATGTATCGTCATCGTCACCGAGGGGTAAGATGGGTCGACGGAGAAGAAAATCGGAAGTTGACGAGATATCTGCTCGATAACTTCGCTTACTTACATGGCATACATGGTACATACATGGTCTTACATGCCTTGGATTCATACCTAGACCACAGTAAAGCTGTCTGCATACCTAGGTTGCTACATGTACTGAAGCTTCCTACGGGTAATCGACAAACGTGGAAAACTACCCCATCTCGCCAATTTATCTGTTTCCGTACACGCACATATACCTGTCCCGTAGAAGATGTGCACCGAATGATGATTGCTATCGATTTCCATATAAAATCCAACGTAGAAGCAGTTGTACGCCATGTAAACAATCAGTCGCCGTAGAGATATCTGGATGGAGCAGTTGGGTAATAGTAATACCCTTAAACACACGAGCGGGACAGAAAGAAAATAAAAGAAACCTTGGGAGGGGTATCCGTGTGTCATCCTCTCAAAATGACTCCTCTTAGAATGCATCACAAGAGAACCTCCGAGAGTTGAACAAGTTTTCGGTGGATACCAGGGACTAGAACGTCGTCTCTACTGGTCTTCGCTGATTAGCATCGGACCATGACCGCGAGAAAGTCATGTTCGAAGTGGAATTCGAAGTGGAACTGGAGCTCAAACACCTCGGGAAACCAAAATTTGAATGCAGCTTCGAACCACTAACACTAACACTACGAAGCAAGAGGTAGCACTGTTGTAGCACTACCTTAGGTAGCCAAGCGCTAACTGCCAGCGCTGGAGCAGCGAGTAAACCTTTACATAGATAGCCACTTAGAGATGATCCTATAGTGGATTGTATAGTGGATCTTGCAGTGGACCGCAAGGGACAATTTGGTGGTTCTAGAGGGGCATTTTAGGCTTTAGTGCGCTAAGAAAGATGCAAGTCAAAAAGGCGGTGACACACCACCTAAATGGGTTTAGCTCAGCCCATGAACGGGGGTGAACTAGGGTGAACAAATCAGGGACCGTGCAGAGCTGCGGGAGGTCAGGGTCACCCCACCAATAGAGCTAAAAAAGAAAAAAAAAAAGTTAAGCTGCAGTAACAGTGGGATATATCCACGGCTACCGTTAACGCAGCACCTGTTCATTTGTGGCACGGTTCAGATATAGACACTTGCTCAATGTACCGGATACCCCAATTGAAATAAGCAAATTCCGAAAGTTTCACCGCTTTCCATTCTGCAATATAATAAAATATATTAAATAAAATTCGGAAAAAGTTTATTTAAATATTATAAATATTTTTAAAACTAAGTTTAAAGTTATATTACGTAAGGTTATTTTATTTTATTTTATTTTATTTTTATAAAAAAATAAATATAATTTTTTTATAATATTATAATATTATATTTAAATAAAATATATTAAAAATTTTTATTAAATATTTAAAATAATATTAAATAAATAATAAAAAAACTTTATATAAATAATATTTAAATATTTATTTTATTATATAAATTTATAAATAAATATTTATATTAAATAAAATTATTTTAATAATATTTTAATTTTAATTTTAATTTTTAATTAAAAATAAAAATTATAAAATAATTAAAATATAATATTTTAATTTTATAAAAAATTAAAAATAAATTTATATATATTTATATTTAAATATTAATAAAGTTATTATATATTATATAATATAAAAAATAAAAAATAATAAAATAATTTAATTAATTATATTAAATTAAATAAAAAAATAAAAAAATAATTAAATAAAAAAAATTTATTTATATATATATAAATTAATTTTTAAATAATATATTTAAATATAATTTTAATTATATAATATAATTATATAATTAATAAAATAATTAATTTAAAAAATAACCGGTATTAAAAAAATAAAAAAAAAATAAAATAATAAAAAAATTAATAAAAAATAAATAAAAATAAATAAAAATAAATAAAAATAAATAAAAATAAATAAAAATAAATAAAAATAAATAATAAAAAAAAATAAAAAAAATTTATTTAAAAAAATAATAATTATAAAAAATTAAAAAATTAATAAAAAATAAAAAAAAAATTTAAAAAAAATTTAAAAGGTATAAAATTTTTTTTTTATAAAATAACCATTTTTTAAACTTAAAAGTTTAAACGGTTTTTTCGGAAAAATTTAATAAATAATTTTTTTATTTTTTTATTTTTATCTTTTTTTTTTTAACTTTTAATTTTTTTTTAGCTTTTAATCCTTTTTTAACTTTTATTTTCTATAATAAAATTTCGAAATAAATTAAAAATTTACAATTATTTATTAATAAAATTTTAACTTTTTAAAATATATATAATATTAAATAAATAAAAATAATATTAATTTAATAATAAAAAAAGATTTTATTTAATTATAATTTTATTAATATATATATATATTTTTTATATTAATTTTATATAATTTTTAATTTTTTAAAATATACGTTTTTTATTAAATAATTTTATATTTAATTATATAATTTTTAATTATTTATTTAATTAATTGTTTAATTTTATATATATAATAAAAAAATTATTAAATAAACGGTATAAAATTTAATTAATAAAAAAATATATATTTTATTAAAAAATATTACGTAAAAATTATAATATATATATAAAAAATAAATATAAAATATAATAAAATATTAAAAAATTTATATAATAAAAAATATAATTTTAATTTAATTTATTTTAATTATAATTATTATTTAAATAATTTTTTTTTATTAAATTAATATTATTTATAAATAATAAAATTAATTTTATATAAATAATATTTAAATAAATATTATATAATTATAATTATATATATTTATTAATTATTAAAAAATAATTATATAAAAATAATTATATAATAATATATAATTAATTTTTATATAAAAAGCAATTTTTTTTAAATAATATTTATATATATAATTTATTATTATTATAATAATAATTATTATAATAATTTTATTTATATTTTATTTTTATTAACTTTTAAAATAATATTTATAAAATATTTATATTATTTTTTAATAAAAAAAAAATATATTATTATATTTTTATTAATTTTTAAAATAATATTTATAATAGTTTTTTATATTAATAAAAGTTTTAAACGTTATTTAAACGCGTTTAAAAGTTTAAATTTACGTTATTTACGTATAAAATAATATTAATTACATTTTATTATTTTTATAACTTTATTTTTTATATAAAAAATTAATATAATTTAAAATTAATAATTATATAATTATTAAAATTATTAATTAATAATTATATAATTATTAAAATTATTAATTAATAATTATTAAAAACGTACGTTTATATAATAAATTAATAAATTAATTTAATATAATAAAAACTTTTTATTTAATAATTTTAATCGTATTATTTATTTATTAAATAATTTATTTATATTTATTATATATAATAATTTCGATTATGTTTAATTATATTTAAAGTTTTATTTTTTATATATAATAAATTAATATATATTAATTAATAATTATATAAATATTAAAATTATTAA